GTGATTCGTAAGGGAAGTTTATATGTATATAACATGCATAATATAGTAGAGAAACACTGATAATTTCAGAATAGAGTAAATAAACACATTTTCTGCGCTTACATTGCAAACGCTGGCTGAATCCTACGAAATAGATGATAGATCAAATACATTACAGCATGTAATTCAAATGAATATTTTCGAAGTTATTACAGATTTAAAATGCAGGGACATAGCAGTGGCGGCGGTACCGGCCGGGGGGCGTCGAAGGCCGCGCCTCGCCCTGTAGCACGCGATCGCACACGTTTTTATGTATATTTAGTATCAGCATCGCACCCGTGCGGAGCCAGGACGATTCAATAGTTATTCTATATTTCGTTTTTTCACATCTTCAACACATCTGAATAACATTCAAAAAGCTTTTCATTCAAAGTAAAACTTTTAGTATGGTTATGAAGGAGCATAAAAGCATTAGGTAAGTATAAATGATTCTCGATTTTGCTTAAAATTGAAAAACAATTTACACTTTTTACTGGAAGAAATGAAAAAAATTTTCTGAACCTGTCTGAACCAACCAAAGGTAAATATGAAACTGAATTTCACAGTTACCATCAAATTTCAAATAAGAGTTATTTACCAATTAAACCAGGCATTTATAAATTACCAAAATTAATTGAAATCATTATTTTATCAGCTGGCCATAAATATCCATTCATCCTAAAAGAAACTAGAGGGTAGAAAACAAGGGAATTTGAAAAGAATGGCCAATCAATCACATGTGATCTATGTTCACTAAAAATGTAGAAACTGAAGAGGAAAATAAAAAATGTTACTTACAAAAAATTGAAATGTCAAGGAATGTGGAACCAGTCTTCAGAATAGGGAATCTGCAATAAAAAAGGGTAATCGTAATTCACAGAATGCTGCTGGTTTGTTATATGATCATCTTGGAAGAATTTCCGTGTGGAATTTTATTACATTGCGGTTGAATTTGAAATTTATGGGCCATATAAATCGGCTTATATAAATGAATCAGGACTCTTTTTCAGAACTTTCAACTGTCCAGCATAATCAATATTTCTAATAAAACTTGTGAGAAACTCCAATACATCAAACTTGTGGACCAAATATATACTGCAAAGATTGTTCTTGCATACGCCCAAGATTCTCACTGTCCTACTTAAAATTTTCTATGAAAACTATATTATTTTCACTGAAACTACTCGAAAAAATATGCTACTTACGAATGTACTTTCACATGTATCACAAAAAATAATCCTAATGGGCAGAGAGATCAGAAGTAGTCGGCAAAAGTAAAGAACAACCGTGAACACTTTGCATAGTCTACTTCATGTAGACAAAGAAACATTACATTTTTCTAGTGAGCTTTTTTCACACATTCACGCCACGAAGTGCAATATGATTGCAACTATCACTTGCTCTAATGTTCCTCAAACACATTTATAACAAAATTCGATGCCGGTTTCTTCAGATTGTTTACTTATTTTGATAAGTATTCTGATAACGTCCGCGATAGCAAGGAGAAACATCACGACGCCATTTTGTATATATTCTGTAGCAGTGCTGCCACATGTTTATAACCTATCCTAAATACATTTCTCATTCCTACTCCATTCAAAGATGCAACGCTCGCCTTTGAAAATGTAAATATATACAAGGCTTTGAAAAAAATCATTTTATTATTCATAGTTTTAATAATTACTAAAATAAAATTTAAAATTAAAACCGCGGATGAGAATCACCAGTGTTGGCGAATTTGTTGATGGCCTAATAGGTACCTACCTATCAGAACTGAACCAGAATATTTTCAAGTTATTTTTTGTGGAATGGAAATTAGAAACAATATTTTTTAAGTAGAGTCGAAAGCTTTAAAAGTCAATAATTGACAATAATAATGTTTCATTGATTAATACAGCTAATCTTCTCCTGATGAAACATCCAATTGCAGTGGCGGACTAGAGGGGACGGCAAACCCCCTGATCTTGAGAAGTATATTATTCAAAGAACAATAAATGAAGCCCTTTCGTGTGAGATTGAAGTTTTTCCTCGGGTAGAAAACTACTATCGAAATTCCTAATAAGAAGTAGCCTGAAAATATTTCCTATTTTCCTTGTTTTCAATTATAGTTTGAAAACTGAAAAGAAAAAAATAAACACTGTCTTCGATATGATTTGAGCCGAGATTGAACTCATCACCACTGGCACACTAGCTCAGAGTTCTGACCACTAGTCCAAGAACCTGCTCACATAATAGGGTGACATAAAGCCTTTTTAGTTTTAAATTAAGTTCATTTTGTTGAAACAATTAAATAAACAACTGTAAAGTTATGAATTTGCTCATCTGTGATTGGCCTCGAAATAGTGAGTTATGAATCTGGCCAATTGTACTTGTAATGCAGTGTTTGGAACCTTTAGTGTAGTAATGAATATTACTGGAGTTTTATCCAGTTATTTTCAACACCTCGACACGTGTTTCAAGTTTCAAAGATTTTCATAGATTCAATCTTCCCCTTGAAGATGATCACTTGGTCAATTGGCTAATTACTGAAGAAACGGTAAAATAACAAATTTTTTCGATTATGATAGAATAAAGTTATTTTTAGCCAAAATCGAAATAAGGCCGAAATAGCCATTTTGTACAATCTTTTACTTTTCTCTTGTCTAGTTGTAACCGGAACAGTAAATGCAAATTTATCTATTTATTTTTTGACACTGCCCATCACCTCTCGATAAGGACTTGCCCAGAAGCACCTAATTTTTTTTTAATAGCTGCATGTTCTCTACTCAATAATCTTTCAAGTCCATCAGAAATATTCCACTTGTATGCGATACAAAGTTTTATTGAATATTTTATAGTATTTAGTTGAACATTCACGTTAAAGTAAATTGAGGCATATTGATGAAAGTTGATCACTTATCAAAGTTGTGGTTAACTGTCTTGTATTATCAATTCGAGCAAACGACGTTACTTCGGGCGAAATTATCTCCAAAGGCGGATTTCATTATATTCCTAGGTGACCTGGAATCATCGAGGAAATTCAAAAAATCTAAAGGGTGTTCCATTCTACAAAAGAATGTTTTCTAATTTTCACATAATTTAATATTTCAATTTACATTTCTTCTGAACAAAATGGCCGATTCGAAAAGTTTAAAAAAAGGAATATACATCAAAATAATCGGTCGTGATCCTGTGATTATTTAATTGGATAAGGATTTCAATATCATGATACGAATGTATGTATCATCAATAATTTGTGCAAGTGCACAGCTTTGAAAGGCAAATTCTTGATAGGTACATGATTACATTTCATGATTAGATTACATGAATGCAACTTTCCTACGTATCTCTAGTTTCAAATACAACAAATGTTACCTGCTAATAATGTAGTTTCTATCGGTTAAAACTGAATTCATCCATTGCAAACAAAATTACAAAAAAATATTATCTTTATTAGTTGGATTTCGCTGAAGAATATTAAATGTCCAATAAATTCTAATTTTCAAGATGATACAATACTTCTGAATACTATTCATTAACCATATCTTCATTTCATCCAATAGAGGATGATGCAACTGCCAAGATTTGATAAATTAGTTAACTGAGATTAAGTAGATAGGAATTATTCTTGATCACCTTATGTGACGGATTATTATACTATGTGATAAAATATCTCTACTGAGTTAGAAATTCACCATGTCAATGATGTTGGAGTATTGATTGCTAGCAGAATCTATAATTGAGCATTACATTTTCGTATATTCGATAACATTGTGGCACTATGCAGAATAAAATCAAATTCCCAACATTCAAAACAACTACTCTTTAAATAAGTCAGGAGGTATGTAGTTAGACATCTCGAATTCCTTGACCTGCCGAAATGAGACCTTCATCCACTCCTTCATCTACTTTGAGCACATGATAGATATGAAAGTTTCCTATGATTTGATGCAAATATTGCCAATCATTAGGTACACATTTGTATATTTGCCATGAGCTATCTGTCTTTTCCGATAGCACAACATAGCAAATCTAGTATATCAACAGCGTGGACATCCTCCTACAGTTAAATAAAAAAGAATCTATAAGAAGATATAATGATATTTTATACGTTATCAAACCCAATAGGTGACTTATCACAGTACGAGTCCGGAATATAAGCGAGTACTGTAATGATACCTAACAGTGTATTGTATAGTTTATTTTAACAATGTTGCCTCATCTTCTATTCTTAGATTAATTTTACAAAGTTGCCTTATTTGATAGTCAGGTAAATCAGATAAATAAAATATTTCAACAAGCTATATAGTATACTATTGGTCCACCATCGTTATTCATAATATTATCGTTTACTTATTTCTACACTATCATAGGAATCTAGATGGCTGTTGTTGTGAACTTGTCTACCTAATCTCAATGGTATAAATAAGGACAAAATTGTATGTATATTTAGTTTAATCTTCTTCTTGATGATGATCACTTGGCAATCAAAACACGAGGTGTTGAAAATTGGTGTTGGGATAAAATTCCAGTAATATTTAAAATAATAGTACCATTTTTAAGTCAAGCAAAATATTTAAAAAATGATAATTAAGACATGAAATTACTAATTTTAGTTAAGCTTAATAGTATAAAAAACGTAATTTGGAGACCATTTTATAATCACATGATTGAGAGTAGTTGAGTACATGCTCAGCCATGAAATTTTTCCTAATAACAATTAAAAACGAAGGCGTATTTTTCAAGTGGACTATGACTCTGAATTATGTCTGAATCAATTTTAGTTTTCATCAATATGGCAAAAATCAAATACATCACTTGTACTTTTTGTACCAGCTGTGTACAAAATTCAATTATTATTTTTGACTGGAAACTGGTAACCGTAATGTTTGATTTACAAGCAGCCAATTTGAAAAGGTAAGTTGATTTACCAGACAACATAATATTTAAGATATTGAATTTGAAAATCTTCACTCTGCTCTAAAAACTATCAATAAAAGCGGTAAACTTTAACAAATATATTATACAAAATATCAGGTTAAACTAGATATAAAATCATTGTACTATTTCCACATAGTAAAAAAAAATAATAAAATTAATGATAACAATCTGAAAAATTAAATCAATACTGCCTGAGTGTTACAAATATTCCTTTAAAAATTGTTTTTCTATTTGACTTTCCTTAACAAAAATTATGAATGATGGTGTGCCTCCTTTAATGAGAAACCTGCAAAATGAAAAATTGAATGAACAAAGCATATATAAATTATTTAGATACTTACCCATCTGATTTCAGGATATCTTTCAAAGTTTTCTGAATATCAACCTTAACAATTTTTTTCTTTGATGTTTCATAGTAAACATTCAAATGATCTGGTTTGTACTTTCTTTCATGATCCCATTCCGGAAAATTTTCAAATACATAGTATAGCTGTTCTGAAAAGCTAAAAAATTTTTCATATATGACAGACAATCGAATTAGGATAGTTACATTTGCTCTTCATTGAATTGTTGCACATAATCCATGATTTTATATTCGGGATACACAAACACAATAGGCCATACTAAATTATTTGATTCATTCAAGAATACTCGATTATTCACTAGTTCTGGAAAGTGTGGCTCCAACTTGTCTATGGATAGGTTACCTTAAAAGAAAAAAAATAAATATATACATGTAGAATTAGATGATGATAACTGACAAGAAAATGAGGGTTGAATTGTGACAATTAGTTTATTAAACCAAATAATAATTGTGGATATTTCCTCATTATTTATCATTCTGTATGTTTATTTTAGCAGGGTAAATCCCAAAGACCACTTCCAGTTGATTCGAATCAATCCTCGAATGAACATGTTGCCAGAGAACCCGATAAATTCCAAATGCGGAAGACACTGAAGAAAGATTTCCCGCATTTTGATGAAAATCCTCAAGATTGGCCCTTGTTTCATAAGCCATTCAAAAATCTTCGCAAACTCTGTGATTATAGCAATGAAGACATTATGTTGAAACTGCAAATATATCTCAAAGGAGAGGCTAAATCCGCAGTTGCTGGAATGTTGTTAACGGCTGAAAATGTAGACAATGTCATTTTTACCTTGGAAAACCGATTTGGCAGACCTGAATATATAATTGACACAGTAATTTATAAAATACAAAAAATTCATTTCATTAAAGACGGTAGTTTGGAGAAATTGATTAACTTTTCATCTGAAGTGAACAATATGGTGTCTATAATGAAAAGTTTAGACAATAAACTTCACCTGGAAAATCCTCAACTGATAAGAGAGTTACTTGAAAAAATTCCAGGAATGATGAAGAGAGAAACAGTCATAGAAAAACGGTGAAGTAAATTTGGAAGATTTCAGTGCATGGTTGAAAGAAAAGGCCAGCTCTGTATGTTATGTTAGTACTCCTCGTTTAAATACTGAATTTCATTCCTCGAAATTCACTAATTTCAAAAAAACTGCAATATGCAATTACTGTGATCAGTCCCAACACCAAGAAGGTACCTGCCCTTAAATGCAATTGGATGATTTTGAAAAAAGATGGGAAATTTTCACCAGAAAGAAATTGTGTTTTTCTTATCTCCGGAAAAATCATCAAAAGGTCAAATGCAGAATGAGAAAACCTTGCGGTAGGAACGGTTGTGAATTGATTCATCGTCCCCTGTTACACAAAGAACTGGAAAATCAAAATAGGACCATGTTGCTACAAGATAATAATGAAAATGATCAGGAAATGGTGTGCTCCGTAAATAATCCTACAAGCAAGGTCCTATTACGAATAATTCACATAAAATTATATGGACTAAGAGACAATGTACCTGTTTTGGCACTGTGTGATGAAGCTTCGACAGAAACACTATTAGATTCAGGAATCGCCAAAAAACTTACGACTAACTAGTGTTAAAGAGTCCCTCTGTCTTCAAAGGGCAAATGAAAATGTGACAATGCAACAAGATTCCATGCGGTTAAATCTAAAAGTATCCAAAATAGACGACAGCAATAAAAATTTCATTTTGAAAGGTGTGCGAACTGTCACCAACATGTCACTTCCAGACCAAAACGTCAATATTGCAGATTGGAGGAAATACTCGCATCTACGAGGTGTTTCGATAAATGACATTCATAATGAAAAACCTGTAATGCTCATTGGCCAAGATAATATCCATTTGATAATTGCCAGACAGATATGGAGTGGTCGAGAACGTCTTCCAATTGCCAGTAGATGTAAATTGGGTTGGTCTTTACATGGACCAAGCCCTATTAGCGAGGAAACTGAGTTGTGAAAGCTCACACCTTGCACATTTGTGAGAAACAATTATTCAATGATGAACTTCAAGAATTACTCAGGAAATCATATGCGACAGAAACTTTTGGCACTCAGATAACAACCGATCAACTCTCCCAGAAAAGTTCAAGAGCCTTGAATTTGATGAATAGTACAATCAAATACAACGAAAAAAAATACGAAATTGGATTATTATGGAAAAGAGTTGATGTTACCTTGCCAGAAAGTAAATTTTAAGCCTTCCAGAGACTGAAATGTGTAGAAAAGAAATGCCGCCTAAATAAAAAATTTGCCAGAAAGTAGTGTGAAAAAATGGAGAATTATAAAATATAAGGATACATTAGAAAACTGACTGAAGAAGAAGAGAAACATATCAATCCTCGCACATGGTATCTGCCCCACTTTGCTGTGGAAAATCCAAACAAGCCAAACAAAATCAGGCTTGTGTTAGATGCAGCTGGCAAATCGAACAATACAAGTCTCAAAAACGTGTTACTCTCCGGACCAGATCTACTGCAAATCTTAGTGTCGATTCTATGGAAATTTTTTTGAAGAAATTTGGAATATGATCGACTTCCTGATGTTTACGAAATAGTTGTCATGACATTCGGGGCAACATATTCTCCAGTATGTGCCCAGTTCGTTAAAAAATTCAATGCCAAAAAATTCGCTTCAGATTCAGACGTAAAAATCGCTATCATGAAAAAGTTTTACGTCGATGATTATCTGGATTCCAAAGACACAGAAGAGGAAGCTCTATAAATGAAATCAGAAGTACGCAGAGTTCAAAAAATTGCTGGCTATGAGGTAATAAATTGGATGACAAATTCCCAGTTAATTCAAACAAAGCTTGCCGATGAACTAGTTTGGGCCTCAACAAAGAAAATTGACGAAACTCCTCTACATCGTAGAGGGTAGGTCTAAAGTGAGTGGGTTTATTCGTCCCTCCACCGCAACCCATAAGGGTTTATTGTGGCTCACACCTATTCACAATCGGCCAAATAAACCCAGCTTCTTAACGAAGCCGATTAGTTCGTATGGTGAGTGGTCTTTCAGGTCAGATGGTAAGAGTATGGATCTGCCGAACTCAAAGAACCTGATTCGGTCCCCAGCGGGGCAGGGACAAAGTATATGCTCTGCAGTTTCATCATTTTCCAGACAGAGGCGACACACACTGTCTTCTGACAGTCCAAGTCTCTGCATATGATGATTCAAATGACAGTGTCCTGTAAGAAGGCCTGTTAGACATCGTAGTTCATCCCTACTGTAGTCCAACAACTGTTTGGAATCAAGCTTCGAAGGGTGAATAAACGCCTTGGAGTAAGCCAATCATGAAAGATTCTGCCAGAAGTCCATAACTCTTCTTGCCATCCAGGTGTTAAGTGTTTGTTTGGCAAAGCCCAAAGCGATGCCAATGACAGGTTCTGGTCCAATGAAGCCGCTTGCAGCATCCTCCTTTGCAAGAGAGTCAGCAGCTTCATTGCCTTCCAGGCCAGTATGGCCAGGAATCAAGACCAGAGACAATCTGTTCAGTCTTCCTATCGAGGAGAGTCTTTTTTGGCAGTTTGCTACCAATTTAGACATTGCTCGGTGGGAGCCAAGAGCTTCCAACGCCGCTTGACTGTCCGAGAATATTTTTATTAACTTGTGAGTGAGATTGGATTTATCCAATCTCTCCGCACACAATTCAAAAGCGTAAATTTCCGCTTGAAATACTATCTGCTCTTAATATTTCCTTCTCCCGCAGGATCTAGTCCTCTCTACTCGGGAATAGTACTTTATAAAGCAGTTCGTAGTTGACAGTTGGAGGCATAAAGTCAGAGGTCATTTCCAGAATGCTGTGCCTTCCAATGTCAACCAACAGTCTGTTGCACTCTGCATTGAATTGATTTGTGCAATTGGCCATGTGTACAAGTCTATATGCAGTCCATCTAGCCTCTCTTTCCAGAAAAATGTGGAGAGGAGGTAGATCTAGAAGGATCTCCATGGCCGCTGACGGTGTGGTACTGATGGCACCACTGATAGCCAGACAAGCCTGTCTCTGTAAGCCAGAGAGCTTCGCTTGGGCCGTTTTCTGTAAAGCCTTTGGCCACCAAGCAATTGCACCATACGTGATCATTGGTCTGACAATCATCACATAAATCCAATGGATTTATTTGGGACCTACACCCCAAGTTTTACCACAAATCCTTCGACATGTCCATAGGGACAGTCTGGCTTTGTGTAAAACTTTTTCCAAGTGAGCGTTCCAGGTGAGTCTTTTATCAAGGACAATGCCAAGATATTTCACCTCCGTTCCAAATGGAATGACCACACCATTGAGGGAAAGTGGCGTTAGATCGTCCAATTTCCTTCGCTTGGTGAAGGGGATTAACACAGTTTTGCTGGGGTTGACAGACATCTGCTCCCTCAGGCACCAACTGTGAACAACGTCCAACGCGCTTTGGAGGATATTACAAGCTACCCTTCCCGACGTGGACCTTGCCAGGATGACAAGGTCATCTGCATAAGCAGACTATCCACCAGGAGAGACCACCTTGAGGGCAGCCCCTGGTGACCCTGAACCTGATAGCCTCGCCTTGAAGTGTCGTAGTTGCAGTTCTGTTTACTAGCATGGCATAGATCCAGCCAGTTATGGTCGATTCTATACCCTTTCTAGCCAGAGACAATCCTATAGATTCAAGTAGTGCATCATAAAATATTTGTGTGAAGTGGATGTTGAATTGAAACAAAACAGTTTGGAACATGTATATTTATTAGGAACTATGCAAATTGTTTACCACTTGTAGAAAGATTATCAAAGTGGATAACAATAATTCGTTCTACAGTCTGGTGCTTGAGATTTATCAACATTCTCAAAAACAACCAAAGCTTTTAACCCAATTTGACAAAAGAAGGGATAACTGATGCTGAAAAAATTTGGGTACAGTTTGCACAACAAGAGAGTTTTCCCTCAGAGATCTACTGCCTCAAGAATGGAAAACCTTTGAGTGAAAGAAGTAAGCTTGCCAGTCTATGTTCTGAAGTAAAAAATGGAATTATGGTTCTCTCTAGCCGAAAAAATGTGTTGAAATGCTTGTCAAGAGATGTTAGTCAACCAGCTATATTGAGTCCAACGCACGATTTCACAAAATTGCTCATCCAGCATTATCATGAGAAATTTCTCCACAGAGGAATGGAACTTGTACTGAACTGAACTGAACGAACTCCGACAAAAATATTGGGTGATTCATGACCAAGCAGCAGTTACAACAACATTCTCCAGATGTCTTAGATGCAGAATTGATAGGAGTAAACCACTACCGCCCATGATGGGACAAATACCAGAAGAACGATTGAAAAGAGAAATCATACCATTTGTCAATGTAGGAATGTACTACTTTGGACCAATTTTCGTGAAAACTGGTAGAAAAAGAGAGAAAAAATGGAGAGTTCTGTTCACCTGCCTTGCGGTGACAGCCATCCACCTTGAAATATCCCATAGCCTGCAAGAAGAGGACGTCATGTTATTTTCTGCGATAATGGGAAGAATCTAAGAGGTGCAGCAAAAGAAAAACATCAAGCCATCGAAGAAATGGACCATTCCAGTTTAATTGATTGTATGTCGGGAAAAAAAATCACTTTCAAGTTTATCTCTCCTTCTTCACCTCACATGGCAGGATTTTGGGATTGGAACTGTAAAAAGAACTATTGGCCAAGTTCTTCATGATCAAAGTCTTCGAGAGGAAACACTGTAAACTTTTTTTGCCGAAACAGAAAAGATCGTTAACTCTCGACTTTTGACGAGAGTATTGTCTGACCCTACCGATGCAGAGTCACTTACTCTGAACCACTTCTTGATTGGTTCTTCCAGTGGTGATGGTGACTTAGTACTATTGAATCCGTGCAGACAATCTGAGGAGAGAATGGAAAATATCTCGCATGTTATCAGATTCTTTCTAGAATCGCTGGACCTACTTTATTAAGGCGAAGTAAATGGACAAATGATAATAAACAGATAGCATTAAATGACATCTTCATACATGTTCATACATGTTTCACTATACTATAGCTTCTTCATGCATATATACTGTATGAACTTTTTGAAGAAAATTGTGAAAATTGCAAAGTCCTCTGCATAAGCTTGCAGACCTACCTCTTTTCTGTCGAAGGCATCAAAACAAATTGTCAATCAGAAGTAACCACAAAAGGGGGATTACCACATGGGGTTACCCTGGGAGAACACCTGGTGAGCTTGAAACTAATAGCCTCATAACATGATACCCAGTTTTGTAGAAAAACAATCCGTGGTTTTTGCAACAAGATAATGCACTTGGTCACAATTCATTGCTTGTTGGCAAGTTTTCCTGATGACTCAGGAAGTTATCAACATTGCCTACCCAGAAGATGAGAATAAAGACCAAGCAATCAATGCCAAAAAAAATGCTATGCCTCCACATTCGCCAGACATGGCTCTATAGCATTTTTCTAATTTCAAATTGTGCTTGAGAAGTACTTCGAGATTTTGAAGAAGCACTGACACAATTGCATATTTAATGGGGACTATTTTGAAGGCGACAATAATAATGTTGATTAATAAATAATATTTGTTTTGACATACAAATATTCCCATTGTTCCATTCTGAATATACCTCATTTTTATGTGTCCAGTCTTTTGATAGGAAGGAAGCAACTAGCTTAAACTTTTTCTTTAGAAAATCTTAAACCTACTGATACTGATAGTGAAATGAAGCAGCAGTTAATTCCAATTAAAACTTTTTATGGTATTAGACCATATTTGCAACATGCTATTTCACTATTCAGTGTATAACAAACATTTAGATTGCTTGGAAGATACATATCACAATCGTTTTATTTTTAAATATCATTCCTTGTAAAGTAAACGTTATATTTGTAAAGGTAAAATAATATCCGAATAAAAGTTGAATCAAACAACAAAGTATACCAAAGTGTTTTCCCATCCAATGGTTGGAATCAATCTTACTTAAGCATAAGTTAATATTTTGTGAGTTACCATCTACTCCATTTTCTACATTGTATCCTCTAGTTATTATTTCCTCAATGAGCACTTTTTCTCCCTGGATTTTCTTTTTCAAGTTACTCTTTTTCTTCCTATCATCTCTCTCTTGAACCTTCATATTATTAATGCATTTCGATCGTAAATCCAGAATGGCTGTATTATTATTATTCTCATCTAGGATTTCATCACAAAACTCTAATGCCTTCTTGTATTGTCTCATTTCAAAACAACAATTTGCAGCTCGCACTAAAGCCTTTCCATAATGGGGTTTCACTTTCAAAGCTAGTTCACAATCTCGGAGAGAAGATCTGTAATTTTTCAATTTTCATGAATCAATAAAACAGTTTACTGTAAAAACATGTGCTGCAGCTCTATTATTCAACAAACTAGCTTCAATTTCTTGGTTTCCACATTTTATTTTAATACCCTCTGTATATGCCAAAACTGCTAATCGATAATTCTTATGTTTGAAATTGAAATTACCATCTTCTTTATAACTAACTGCCAGTTCTGAAATGAAAATTAGATCAAGGTAGGTATTTAATTTGTATTCAGGTAAAGTTATACCTTCTGGTTCATTTTCCTCTGGATCATATTTAAGCTGTTGAAGACCCTCGTATAAAGGATGAAGCTCTTGCCCAGGTTTAGGAGGTTCTTTCATGAAGAAGGGATGCTTTTCCATTTCCTATCGAAAACTGAATAAATTCAAATATTCTTGGTGTGTTTCATAATTTTGAGATTATCATTACCTCCTCCCAACGATCTTCAGGCCATCCATCTTCATATTTTTTTCTCGGCAGTTTTTCGATGAACTCATCCAACTCTTTATCAAGTTTAGCAGCCAACTGCAATCTTTCTTCATCTGTTATAACTTTCTTAACAGAATCCTCAGATTTATCCATTTTGAAATAAGTCAACTTAACTTCTATTTTAAATTTGATCAAAATATCATTTAAAATATTTCAAGTTTAAACAAGGCCAAAAAGCAATAACATAACTTCTAACCTCACTTTTCAACAATATATCTTCTTCTGTTCTTCTTCACGATATGCAGGCCAGTAAGCCATTCATTTAGTAGATTACTAATCCAGTTCCTACTTTTGAGGATGACTTTTCTTCCTCTGATAATTCAACATCTTATTTATCAAATACTTGTTACTCTATTGCCTATTTTCAAAAAACAGGCAAAATCAATCATTCAAAATGAATGTTTCTAATAACCTATTAACTTTTCAGAAATCAATTCAAAAATTATCATTATTAACTTTTCTTAAAGTATAATGCTGATAATACAAATATCTTGGGAAAGTTATTTTATATGTTACAACTTACAACCCCTAATCCTAATAGTATGATGGCAGCGACAGTAAATTTTCAGAAACGGGTGTTTTCTTATTTACTGATTGATTCGAGAACAAAAATATAACCGTATATGAATTGAATCGATTTTCGAAAATCTTTGCGTGATTACAAAGCCACTGATGTGGAATCAGTGGAATATGCATCAGTCAACTTCAATCTCGAAATTACGAGTTTTAACATTTCGAAATTGAAATTGTTTAATATTCTTAACTATTTCCTGTACGTACATTTGTGATAGAACCATATAGAATATTGGGACCAGTAGTTATAGACTCCTCCTAATTTTAGAAGATGGATATTTCAAAATATTCATGTCTCCCAACTACTTATACCGTCGGTTCTGGTGAATGCCTGTCGGAAAACAACAACTTTCCCAGTTAATACCACGCTGAATATTAAATTATATCCGAGAAAAATTTATGAAATATACCTCTCAGAGGCTAGTCTCGAAGATCCAGCAGCAGGACAATGCTGAAATGATTCGAGTAGATCACGAGATGGAGCCGCGTCACTAGTTAACAATCTTTCTTATACACAAACGCGCGTGTGCGCATGCACGCACGCACCCATTCGCTCACTCACCCACACACACATATATGTATCTATACAGGGCGTTCCAACGAAAACTTGACCTCCCCTGTAAGTCGGAAACGGACGTGTAATCGAAAATTTCAAAGAACACGTATATTTTTATTTAAAGAGGGACTAATTCTGATATGAAAATCATACCCGAAACATCACCCCCTTGCGGTCAGCAACTACCCTCCTATTTTTTCGAAATTGGCTCATTCGTTATTGAGAAATTGAATGTTGAACGTTTTATTAAAAAAAAAAACAGAAAATTCGCTGTCGTTTATTTTAATGAGGGAATCAACAACAAATAATATCAGTGGAAACTAAATCCACGGATAAATTGTTCAAAATGACCTCCACCTAGTTCCATACAATAATAAAGTCTTCTCTCGAAAGCGTTCCGTAAATTATTCAAGATGTCCGGAGTCAGCAATCGGCATTCCCGAACAATTCTCTGTCGCAGGTCTTCTAGATTTGTAGGCTTAGTAGAGTACACTTTCGACTTCAGGTGTCCACACAGAAAAATTCCATCAGTGAGACATCAGGTGATCTAGCTGGTCACTCCACTGCACCTCTTTTGCCGATCCAACGCATTGGAAACCATTCGTCCAAAAACGGTCTCACCCGATTATTAAAATGTGGGGGTGCACCATCCTGCTGGAATGTTATTAAATTTTCTACTAAATTGTCAGCATTTTCTAAAATTTGTGTAATCATAGGATCTACAAAATCTTGTAATAGATTTAAGTATGTATCTCCATTGAGATACCTTTCAATGAAAAATCGTCCAACAATATGATTACCAAGAATGCCGGCCCAGACATTCAATTTTTGCGGAGTTTGTGAATGTGTTTTCATCACCAAATGAGGATTCACATCGCTCCAGTAACGACAATTATGTCTATTCACTTCACCATTCAACATACACCAGACGCTCTAGCTACTTGTCTGATAGATTGTCGATCCATTTGTACATGTGTCTTAAAACTGCAACTTCAACTCCGTCATTTATGACAGAACGAGATACTTCATGTTTTCTGTTGTGAACAGAAAATCAACTGTTTAGTATATTGATGGCTCATATTGTGATCTGGATGATTCGTATTATAAATTCTTGCAGCAGCTTTAGCACATTCATTATTTCGATAATAGATTGCAACAATTTCTATTCTTTCTTCAGTAGAATAAACCATGTTGGAACTCAGTGAACAAGAATGACTGAATAATAATTCGTGAGGAAGTGACAGTGGCCAACTATCTAGATGGAGGTCATTTTGAACACTTCGTCCGTTGATTGTGTTGCTATTGATATTACTTTTGTTGATTTCTTCAATGAAATAAGCGACAGTGAATTTTCTGTTTATCCTAAATAAAACGTTCAACATTCAATTTCTCAATAATTAAATGAAAGAACCAATAACGGAAAAAAATACAGAAGTAATAGACGGACAAAAGACCTTTCAAATAAAGAGCCACCTGTAGACAGGTGTTTCAGCCTGTTGGGCATTGTCAGTACCGGCAGGCGGTCCTCGATTGAAGACAAAGTGTGAAAAACCACAAAAAAAGTACTTAATAAAAATAACGCAAGCGAGACATAAGTGGAACCACCTATTGGTGTGACTCGCCGACGGGGTCGTAATCTACCTGACATCAAAGTCTCGTCACTGGGTTTGTTCAGTTCCAGCCAGTTCACTCAAGTGAATAAAAAGTGTTGAAAAAATTAAAAATAGTATCTCTTTTTTTTTATTTAAAACCAAACTGGTAGCAATTTAAAATTTCATGTTTGCAGACAAGTTGAAACATAAAAAACATCACCAACACCGTATGGTTGGAACAACCAAAGTTTATTTTCACAATATGAAGCTCAAGAGTTGAGAAATTCAGACAGCAAGATTAGACAAGAAGAAATGAAAGCCCGCATATAACGAAAGCTGGTGATTGGCATTTTATGGTCTGGTTTGCCCTTGACCACACTTAAAGAAAGTATTAGCTTTGTAATATCTTTAATGGCTCAAGAAAAACTTATTTCAAGATCGTAGTTACAGTACGAGTCCAGGAGGAAAATTCATGAAATAAAACTAAAATTATAAATATATAACTCCAATATTAATGCATAAACTATATCACAATACTAAACATATATTAATTAGTCTAAATAGAAAAAAATCATAATTTATAATGATTATATAAAAAAATTGTTCATACATTTTTTTTTAAAGTGTTTTCAACAGTTCATTTTACACTACAGGTTCTAAATTCTACTTATCAGGAGTTCATTATAACTGTAACTCAATTGAAAGTCAAGATGACATCACTAAATTGTAATTACTGTTTTAGTTATGGTTCAGATGATAACTAAAGACAGAAAAAAATTATATACATTTTTTAAAATTATTCTTGTTTGTTAAAGCTTAGTGATAAACATCGTTTTCAAAACAATGTCACAATAAAAATTTAAATCAAAGAAATTTCCAATTTACATTTTCAATGATGATCTAACATTGAACAATTATTAAAANTGTGATGGGTCTAACCAATGGATTCATTACAGCTGTGCGATTCTTACCACTTCAGAGGTGGAATTCTAACAACTGCTCGTATCGTATCGGTGCACTCTTTCCTGACTACAGGTAAATTTGTTGGTCCTCGAGGAAAGGATTTGTATAAAAAACATTGGGATGAATTGGCGCATAATCTGAATGCTCTAGGATATGGAGCAAAACCTACTGAAAAATGGCAGAAGGTAAACCAAAGTCTCAAATACTTAGATTTTTTATAACTGATTAGAGCTTTCGTTTGTAGTCTTGGTCAGATCTGAAATATTCATTAAAAAAAAGGGTGCTGCAATGAGAGCTTCATTATCTCGCACTGGTGATGTGAAACCACTAAATGAATTAGAACTGAAAATATTGGATTTATTAGGGGAAAACTTCGTGGGATTAAATAATCCAGAATGTGGTGTAATAGGTGTAATAGGTGTAACTGCTGTATCCCTTGAACCAGAGTCCTGCGAAAATAGTCTTGATGAACCATCAACATCGAAGACACCTTCAACATCAAAGACTATGCCCCAAAGAGATGATTGGAACCACCACATAAGAGACCCACAGTCTTAAATGGTTTCCCTGTATTCACTTCCACAGTGAATACAGGGAAACCATTTAAGAGTTAAAAGATATAAAAAATACATTAAAATATTCCTTGAGCGATATTTCTTCCAATTTGAAAGATGTTGCAAACGAATTGAAAACTTTAAACAATTATTTGCCACAGGTAACAACAAATGCTATGATTTAAATGAATGAATTTAACAAAAGAAAGTCCCTCCCCAGAACAGGAATAGAAAGCAGCCTGCAATTTATGTGGTACCAAATGAATGGTTTTCTTCTATTTCCTCATTATTTTGTGGAATATCAGAGATTGTTTTTATTTTATTGTTATAGACAGCTATGTTTCATTTTAGTTCGAATGTACCTGATTTTGTACTGGAGTATATCATTAATTATATTTGAATCTTCTCTTTATTTCACAAATAGATAGTTTAGTCCTCATTCAAATTATTGAACAGGTTGGTGAAAAAACTCACAATGATGATCTAACATTGAACAATTATTAAAAAAAAATTATGAAATCATAATACACAAACCGCAAAAGCTTCCACCTCGAATGTTTGTTTCAAAATTGAACTGAAAATCAATTCTGCATTGCACACTATCTTCATTTTATCCTTCTTATTTCTAAGTAAATCCCCCACCAGATGCAAATCATTCTCATGTGTAACTATAAAATAAGTATAAGGGGAATTATTACTTGTTGCCTCAATCTGAGCGGAACTTCGTCTTCGTCTTTCCACAATCCCCCCACAACATTGAATGAGCTCAACAACAACTCTTTTACTTGGAAATACACTGGGAGTGACAAAGAAAAATTTCCCCTCAAATAGTCGATTCCTATTTCTCATAAGGAATGTCTGATCAATATCGCATTTGAACTCAGAATTGAAGTCATTTGATTCAGGACTGTAATTGTTTTCTGGGAGGAATTGGTTTGCCTCATGGGACTCTTTCAACCAATGATCTGAAACTACCTTAGCTCCTCTCGCAATAGCATAAAATAACTTATTAGAACGTGCTAGATGGGACATGACGAGATGTGTGAAATCGTGATTACTTTTTGCTACACAGCCACCAAGATCTCTGAAAAGAAAAAATATATAATAAGCAAATGATAACTACAAGATCTCTTTGTCTATATTATCAAGTTTGAATTCATTTTTCATTTGATGTACAACACAAAATTCACCACAATATGTCATTAGGAAGAACTGAGGTGGAATTCTAACAATTGCTCATATCGTATCGGTGCGAGACGAGACGCAAATCGAAACGATAGTACATTGCTATTCTAATTTTTTTGTCTCCATTCACATGGAAATTTGTGTTTTATACTTTTTATGCCTGACTATTTATATGTTTTATGGTTTCATGTGAAGAACAAGTGAAGTACCCAATTGTTAGGAATAGTAAAATCAGCAATTTTTAATTTTTTGGTCATTGAGGGGATTTCATTATTTTTATAATTATGTCATTCAAAGTAAGAGAGACCCATTGGCAAATTATGTTAGAGGCCATGGAGAAGCACTCTTTCTTGATTATCATTGTCTGGATCACCTACGTTTTCATCGATGGGTATGTTTGCATCCACACACATATTGTGTAAAACAGCACACGCCTTCAACAAATTGGCTACAAAATCAGTATTGTATCTCAAAGTACGCTCCTTCAAAAGACAGCGAAATCTCATTTTTAAGATGCCAAAACATCTTTCGATGCAATTCCTTGCTCTAATGTGGGTATGATTAAACCTAGATTCGGGACTATTTTCAAGGGGGTTTTGAAAAGGTGTCATTAGAAATGGCTGAAGTGGGTAGCCAGAATCTCCAATTAACCAAGCTTGTTCCCCAGATTTGTAAATTTCTAGCATATAATTCTTTATAAATGAGTGGTTCCATATAAAAGAGTCATGAGTGGATCTTCCATAGTTGGCAAAAATATTATTTATTTTCATACGGTGATCACAGATAACTTGGCAATTAAGAGAATGGTAACCCTTTCTAGTAATGAAATTATGTTCATCGCCAGGTGGTTTTAAGATGGCAACATGGGTACAATCAATAGCCCCTATGACTCCAGGAAAATGTCATTTCTCAATGAAAGCCATTTTCATTATATTCCTTTCCCGAATATTCTGAGGGAATACTATATATTCTGCACCCATCACTTCAACTATTTGAATTGATACTTCATGTATTGCTCCATGAACTGCAGTTTGACTCAAACTGCAAAAAATTTCCTCACCAACACACCTCTGGTAAGTCCCTGTGGCATAGAAACGGAGAGCGCAAAATATCCTACTTTCTATTGTAATACCCCCTCTTATGCGAGGTAATCTCAAATGGGGGGTTAATACGGCTATCAATCGTTTTGTCAAATGTTTATTTAACCGATACAATTCAATAAATCTTCTTTCAGGAAGATCAAATGGATTGTATCTATTCCTTAATTGTAATCTGTCTTCTTAATCGCCTTATAGGTGGATTATTCTGCATAATCCCTTGGTGAACTATAGGCAGTATAATTGTTGTTTATTTTTTTAATACACAAATCACAAAACATCCACAAATACTTTAATCTATTTCGTTTTCAGGTTAGCTTTTTAAAATATTGAAAAGGGAAACATGTGCTATTGAAAGAGAAACACATCAAAATCTTCAAACGATACATCTACACCTAACGGATGAAATTACGAAAATTTGAGACACGAAACGATACCAACTACTACTTAGAATTCCTACTGTCGTCTCAAACGATACGATAGCTATCAGGTTGTTTTCAACCTGAGAGGTGGTCTGAATGTGAACTTCTTTGATCTACATTGTATGTTTTTTTCTTGACTATTCCAATTTAATATTTTGTCTCTTGAGAAATAAATTATTATTATCATTTCATATGATGTACCTGAAATAGTATTATTCATCCCCGGAATACATCCTAAATACATCATCATTTCAGGCGGATATCTACCTAACTTATTTATGAGCTAGTTTCATGTTGGTATAAAATTGTCAAAAAAAAACTGCTCATTGGAAAGATTGGTCTGAAAATGTTGAAATTGTATTTCAAATATCTTACCTAACCATTTTCTCCATTTGTTTGGTATCACTAAACATGGAAAACATAATTTTATAAGTGGAATTTGCCATGTATTCCTCACTAATATTGTCATTTTCATCTGTTTCCATTTTTGGAATTTTCGGTTTTTTTGGTAATACTATAGGAGAAGCACTTCTTTTGACTCTTTCATAGGATTCTTGTGAAATATTTATGGGGGCCTTCCAGGCAACTGAAATACAAAAAATGATTGGACAATTATAAACACATGAATTGGATATAGCCTACCCATCAAGTTTGGAACTAATTTTGGGTCAAAACTGAAATTCGGAGGATTTGGAAACTGCTGGTAAATCTGATGTTCCATCTGATTCATGGCAGAAAAATGACCAAGCATTACATCCGTTAACCACTGTACATTCACTACTGGAATTTGCCATTTTTTAGCATATGAACACTTTTTACAATCGCCTTTAGCTGCTATCAGTACAGTGTTGTGTTTGGAAAAATAAGATGTACACTAAAAATGAAATGTATAATTAAATAGAAAAATTATATTTGAAATATTCCTCACTTTTGCTCCGGTATTTTTCACCATTTGCTTAATTCTACTTCTTTCATTTCCTTCGAAACCACTAATAGCCATCAAGTGTTTAGCAGCAGGGGCTGTATCAAGATATATATTAGGGAGGTGTAGTGCGGTCCAAGGTGGTAGCACTTGCCTTCTTGTCATGACATCATTGAGCCAAAGAATCGTAACACATCTTTTACAGTCACGTAATGCTTGCATTACTACACCATGTCGTTGGGTTTCACACAGAACATGTGTTACACGACTGCAGTATTGTTTTTCAACTTCTCCTAAAAAACCAATATCATATGAGTGTGATCACTTCTATCCTATACATACAGTTTTACCTCCATGTTTTTCAATTTTTTGTTGCCAACCTGGTATACTCTCTTCCAAGAAATTGTCCACCTCAACCACAACAAATATGCATCCCAAGAGAAACAAATCTGGAGGAACTGAAATAACATTGTGATTTTATTTCCACCTCCTCTAAAATGTTAACAATGGTTCACAAACAATTTTTTACAGAAATAAACAATATGTTACCAAAACTTTGATAACAAAAAGAGCAACTTTAACGACTGAAAAAAGACCTGCCAACAATTGTTTTCACTTGAACTGTACTCACGTTTCAGATTTGGATTGTGGCCATAAAAAGGACCTGGTCTGTGTTGTAAGGGAAGTGTTGGTTTGGGGCAGTACTGCAATTTGGGAGGATCATTTGTGGGTGTGGTTGGTAGTTGCTGGGCTCCTGGTGGCTTTATGATCTCTCCATTCGGTCCATTGATTGTTCTTCGCTGCATCGCTATAATTTCTTGGGGTTTACTGTTCAGTGCAGCATTGTGTTGTGCAGTCATTAATCTAAAGAAAAAATAAATATTTGTTCACTTGAAATTATTGAAAAAAAAATGAATTAAACCATTCACATTCCTTATTTTTTGTAGAAATACAAATTAATATAGTTTCATTTTTGTTCATCTTTCTTGATCCAGTAATACAGAAACTATTTCATTAAATTTTAGTAAATACACTATCCATTTATAATCTATCAAAAATTCAACACCCACTCAAATTTTCAACTCAAATTCACAAAATATATTTTATCTTGATTTTCCCACAAATAACTAGAGTTTTGTTTTTATTCAAAAATAACAATTTTTTGTTCTTTCAAGATCAATAAAAAACCTATAGGAATTTATAACAAAAAATATGTTGAAAACATATAAACAAATGATAAGTTTTATATGGGGGTCTTGGGATTCAACTTATTTGTGACTTACCTGAGTGTTCCAGCAGCTGATGGTTCTTGTATTGCATCTGGCCTTGGCACTCCAACAGATGACCCTCCACTTTGTAATTTAATGCTCAGCATGTTGGCAAGGGCTGTTTTAGTTTTTGCGTTAACCACCAAGGGATGTTGTATGTTGGCATCTTGAAGCTGAGTGGGATTAGTAGTTGAATCTGCAAGCTGAGTTTGACCAATTGGACGAACTACAGAAGGTTGTTGAATTGTACCTAGTTGTAACAAAAATATTGTTTACAATATTGGATTGTACTTGATTGAAAAAAACATTATTGTTCACAGTATTAAATTAATTCCAAGTAACTATATATTGTCAATTGTAGTAGTTAGTATTCTTATTTATAATTAAAACATGCTGTGAAACTTTTTTAAATCATTCGAACTCAAGACATTGTATCATGTTGTTATGCTTTCAAATGAAATAAGTCAGGTGGTTTTGAAAAATTAATTCAAATCATATGGTGAAAACACTAACGGATTTTATAGCCCAAATTTATTCCCAATTATTTTGTTGACTACATTTAAGTGCTGGAATCCTGTTGGCAGCACTAATATTCATCAAATGAATGTTTTGAAAGATAGCAAATCGGGATTTTAGTACTGTTTTTCAAGAGTAACTAAAACTATTTGTTTTACTTGCTACAGTAGGCTCTGGCTAATTCGGCTAGGGAAAAACAAGACCCCTTGCAAATCATCTAGGCATTTGGATCATAGTATGCAATATTTCAATAGAAAATGAAACATTTTCAACTTGGGTTTCGTATATTAAAGTAAAAATTTGAAGTCAATTTAGACAAGAATATGTATGTACATACACAGGTACTTCCAAAGAAACTCAAACACAAAAGAAACTTATGCACTTGACATGAAATTAAAAAAATCTAAGTTGATTCTTCTTGAAAAAATCTGTAATACACTTCTGCTTCAAGTTTTCATTTCAAAAGCATGGTTTGTAAATTGACGAAGAAAAATAACTTTGTGGCTATCAAATTCGTTATCTTCAACCCATTGCAAAGCTATGTTTGAAGCTTCCAGTGACTGAATTTCCAATTTTTTTGGGAGGGACAACTTCATCGTTGTTATCATCATCTTGCTCGTCGTCCTCGCACATTGCCGCTTGCACAATCTCCTCATCAGTTAACACTTCATAATTTTGTAATTCTTTGTCCACACCACCAGCACGTATTTGCTTCACGCATTTGAGGATCACTGGGCTATCAAAAAGCAGCACATCATCTTCTGGTTCGAAGTTATCATCACTGAGAAGTCCAGGGTGCAAAGACTTCTACGATTTTTTAAATTAGGGATGCTTTGACATCCTTACAGCAATTAGCCAAAAAAAATCTTTATCTTTCAGAGTAATCGATTTTGATGGACCCACAAGGTTTTCACTATTTGACGCAAGACAAATAATCAAAAGTTATTTGCGGTAATTTATCACCACACTTTGTACAACATTCTTATCCACTGGTTGTATACACGCTATAGTGTTAGGCGGCAGGAACATTGCAAAAATATTGCCGTCTTCGGAAATAAGTTCGTCTGCTGACGGATGGCCGAGACAATTTTCCAATAGTAACATTGCATGAGGATAAAAGATGGTGACAGACCTCGGGAACAAATTCCGTATTAAACCATTTATCCCAGAACCCTTGATACATATCAAAACACCGGGTAGGTGTACCTGTGTGTAACATCATTCAAGGAACAAATCTCTAGTAACCCAACATTTTTCTGCGCTTGATAACAAAGAGATATGATGATTTGAATGCCCATGGGTTTTTGATTTTCCGACAACAAGCAATTAAAGTTTATGGGTTCCTGATGCTTTTGCACAAGGCACAAATATGACTCTCAACTTTATCATTTTCCTTCCAGACGCCGACTTCTCATTACCAGAGGCTAAAGTATGATTGGGCAGCAATCACCAGTACAATACAGATTCTTCGACATTGTATACTTGTTCCGCTTTTAGATTTTTTTCTTGAATAACTTTCTGAAACTCTTGTTGAAATGGTCTGTTAGCAAATTCATCACCAGAAAATTTTGTCATTTTTAAATATCTTGTTCTGTGGCGCTTCTTAAATTTATCTCCCGCTTGCATTGAATCTGATATTAGAGTTGAAGATTTGGCTATGAAAATAAAGAGCTTTCTCGCAACATTTACATTTCTCGCAACACTTACACGAACATGCAATCACCTTTGCTGCAGAAACCATGTAAACAAGGCATCTTCCAAAATGGGATTTTTAGACTTCTTTAGTGTTATTTATGCGCCGGAACCCAGTTCTGTTTGGCTAACAAACATCAAAATTTTATATTTGTTCCTCTTTATATCGTCTACAGTTGATCAGCTAATACCAAACTTCCAAGCAATGGCACCTTTATCTAAGATTTCTATAATACACAATTTGTCTTTTATTGACAATGTAGAATGTTTACGGACAGTACCATTTTATCAGCGAACATGCGTTGAATTACCCAACACTCCAAGGTAATAAACAAAATACTGACTCGTGACGACAAATAATCCAAATTATATCTGGTCCGAATTAACGAACCTTTACTGTATATCTTCTCCGCACGCTGATAGGAGATCAATTTCAATCCTGATGATTATTCATAGTTACAAATATCATGGCAATATCCATCTTAAAAGCGTGAAGAGAAAAACTTTGGGGAGTACTTTGTACTGCTTCAACAGAGTAGTCTCTGATTCAACACAGTACATCAAGTAAATCTTGACACTTTCGTCTGGTGATATTCATTCAACCCAATGCTAACAATTTCACATTGCACAACTTTGTTAGTTGAGGACAACTACATCAGGATTACTAGTTTACGGAAAAAATATTTTAACAGACAGATATATGCCCCAGAACACAACACCAAATATTGAGTTGAAAACATTAATTAGGTAAAAAATGATGGATGTAGCCGTTACTATGTGTTAGGAAAGCATAATGAAGAAAAGAGAAATGAAAACTTTCTATGTTTTTTATCACTTTTATTTGTAACTAATGTTACTGAAGTTTCGTCCTATACAGACATTTTCAAACTTATACAATAAACTACTTGTGTAAGTTTAGATATAGTTTGGATATAGGATGAAACTGCAGTAACGTTAGTTACAAATAAAAGTGGTAAAAAACATAGAAAGTTTTCATTTCTCTCTTCTTCATTAATTAGGTAATGTCCTTTATATTTTTCATCTGTGATAAACCTTTATACCCCCACCAGGTGAATATTAAAATGTTGAGTACATCACTTCAGCCCACAGAATCTGTATTAGTAAGTTGACTCAGTAACAGGAGTAAATCTTTGTAGTATTACAAACTTCACAATGAAAACAAAACCAATTTCTCTTTAGCTATGTCAGCTCTTGAAAAGTGAAGGGCATATATTCTTCTTCTTAATTAGTTTACAACCTCTATCAAACATACAAGTTATTTGGATCTTGAATTGAAGGGGTTATATTTTTAGGAGTGATTAATTTTTGGGAAAAAAAGTTTTTGGCTTTCTACTACTCCATCTTGATACAAAAACAAGGATGAGGTAATCTTCCAAGGAAAGGAAGGAAGTAATCAATTTTAAAATAAGTAACTCTATACATGGATGTGTAGATCATGCAAAGAAGTAACTTTCAGACAAAAACTAAGCAGATCAAGCTTATTCTGCGACATAAAAAAATCGTAATTCATGAATGAACTGTGTGTATTTTCTATAATGTTATCCAATTTGGTACTGAAGAGCCTTGGGGCAAGTGTCTTAAGGTGAAACATCGGTGACAGTGTTCCATGTAAGTGCAATTTATTACCATTCATTTAAAGTAAAACTCATGTGAATGATATCTGATTTTCATTCCACAACGAATGTTTGAAATACAAACTGAGTAGAGAAAAGTATCTTCTGTATAATTCAGTGTTCATATAGAAGTATTTGTTTTGAAAGAATTTTTTTCTTTCGTGTAATTCAATGTTTATATGAAAGTAGCTGTTTCAGGAGGACTTTCTTTCAGTTTGTGTCTGAAAGTTACTTCTTTGCATGATCTACACATCCATGTATAGAGTTACTTATTTTAAAATTGATTACTTCCTTCCTTTTCTTGGAAGATTCCCTCATCCTTGTTTTTTGTATCAAGATGGAGTAGTAAAAAGCCAAAAACTTTCTTTCCCAAAAATTATTTGGACCTCTTTTGAAACTGAGGAAAGAACAATTTAAGATACAATTAAAGTTCCTATAAATATTGATTATTCAGCAGGTCTTTCTATCAACTTAACATAGATCTACCAAATTTAATTTCAGCTAATATATTACTATGAAACAGAATAATTCCAAAATTCGTTAAAACAGTGGCATAAAAATTAAATGTTTGAAATGCAAAAAAATTATTCATAAAATTCTAGAGCTGCAAAGTAATTTTTTGTAGCTTTCCCTACCCTACCTTGCTGTTGAGCAAGATGATTCTTCTGAGCCTGCTCTCTCTGCAACTGCAACTGGTGTAAGCGAAACTGTCTTATTTGAAGGTTTTGATCCGTGAACTGTGTGGGATTCTGATTAATAGGACTCAAACCTGGTGCATGCTGAATATTTTGATTCAAACCAGGCTGCGTAAGAGTTCCAGGAGTGATGTTCTGTTGAATATTAGGTGGAAGAATGATTCCCTGTTGTTTAGCTTGTTGTTGCACCCACTGCATTTGCTGTTGTGGGGTCAGACCAGGTGGAACATTGCCTGAATTGAAGAAAATATCAAGTTGATATAAAGTTATAAAATTTAATGAGACCAAAAAAATATTATCAGAAATGAAGAGCTGCAAGTAAGCAGCATTTGGAACGATTTTTAAAACTCAGAATAGATAATCGGTACCAATCAGAAGTTGCCAAGTTCTTTGAAAGACAAACAGAATTGCATTCATATATTCTAAAAAATAATGTATTTGCTCAGTTGTATTTACATTTTTTTATCAAAAATATTTGCTGAGTGGTAAACACAACATTATCTTTGGCCTTATTAACAACATGGAAAGACTAAGACTTTAAACAATTTATTTAATTTAAAGCCCAAATATTTCAACTGTTTTCATAGTTCAGAGTAAAGTTCCTTCACTTAATAGAAATTCATAGTAGTCAGTTCAAATCAATGTTTTTTTTGAATGTTTTTATTTAATGAACAACTTTGATTTTGTATCAACGGAACTTATTTACTAACTACGGAGACAGAGTGAAAGAGAGAGAAAGTAAAAGCTTTCACTCTGCCCCTGTACTAGATAATTTGAAGAAGTAGTAAACAAATTGATTCATATTGAATGAACTTCGTCTAGTGACATTTTTCAGCAGAAAAATTTAAAAACTCCTCTCTTGAATTTATGAGTTTAACAACCCCTAGACTTTACAGGGTGGTATTTTAAGTTGGCGTCCTGTCTCTCAAATACCTGTCCTTGCAGCATACCTAAAAATTCTAATAAAATCAATATTTCAAAATTCAGATTTCAGTTTTATACTTGATTGTGGGGTCAAACCCGAAACCGGTCGTATAAATAAAATGTACCAGTGTTATTTAGACAAAAAGTGTTGTATTCATTTCATTTGAGTGATCATGACTTACCATAAAGTTAAACAAGTCATCAATCACACATATTGAATATTGCATTATTTATGAAAATTCACTTAGGTAATACTTTCTGCAAGAAGGTAGATATTTTTTTATTGGTATATTTTTAGGAATATACAAATGCTGAGCAGATTAAATTTAGTGTGTTGCTGTTTTAATTGAGTTGACTTGGTTTCAAACATCACATCCTTTCAACTTTCATAATCATAATGTAATCAAAAAGAGTTATTGATCAAAAACTGGTCTGACGGAGGAAAAAGCTACAATACCTAAAAATTTCAGACGAATGAGCAGAACGCTATTTCACCTTAGAGTAGCGACTCTTGAATGTTCACAGCGAATTTTCCTTCAAAAAATTTAGAAGCTAATTTAGATCCCAAGCAAGCATTTCAGGCAGGTGTAGGGAATTATTTAAATCATTGTTTCGTTCATATGTGTATCTATCCACCGTGAATTACCAGTTACAAAAATATGTATGTATACTTAGTTGGATATAACTAACCTCTGATAAGAATATGACTTCCCCCACCTCCTCGTTGTTGAACTTGTTTCAAAAACTGTCTTTGTCTTTGTAATTTTGCAACAAAAACTGCCTGTTCATCCCGCCCCATTTTTTGCAACTCCTGATGGGTCTTAGCATCCAACTGTATGAACTGTCTTTGCATTATGGCAGCACCTTGCTGGGAATTTGGGGACCATAGCACTCTAGACGAACCTTGTTGAATCACGTTGACAGGATGCCTGATTATCTGTTGACCAGCAACTTGAGGTGGGGGCTGTGGCCACAGGTGTTGGTTTAGTTGACTTCTTTGAGGTGAGGTATTCTGAGGAGAAGTCTGGTTGATGACAATTTGTTGCTGCTGCTGTTGGAATTGTGAACGGACCACTTGTTGCGGTAGACTCGGATTAACCTTAAAATCAATTATTGAATATTAACTGTGGAATAAAACATTATCTAGAATTGACCAGTGGTCTTTTGAGCCTTACTTTCAAATCAGTTAAACACTCACATCGAGAGAAAAACCCGATACCTCTTTCTGTTTTGGATAGATAGAGATTCTCTCTCAATGTGAGAATTGACCTAATTTGAAAATGAGTCCCGGAAGTTTTCAGAAATGGTTTATATATCTAATTATTTGGAAATTTACTATTACTAAATCTACATACCTGATTTAATTGTGATTGTAAATTTTGTTGATTCAGTCCTTGCTGTTGTAGTTGCTGCTGTTGGAGAGATTGTCTATTGAGTTGTTGCTGCAACTGTTGATTAATACCTACATTAACGTGGTTTAAAACTTGCATAGTCTGTCCCAAGCCTTGCTCCAAAGTTTGTTCATTAGATTGATTTTGCTGATTCATCTGCTGTTGATTGAACTGACTTTGCTGATTAATTTGTTTCAATTGATTTTGCTGAATCTGCTGACTCAATTGATTTTGTTGAGAAAGCTGGTTAATTTGACTTTGTTGATTCAACTGTGCCTGCTGTCCAATTTGCTGTTGATTCAATTGGTTTTGTTGCCCCAAATGTTGATCTAATTGTTCCTGTTGAGCAATTTGTTGTCCAAGTTGGTTGTGTTGAACCTGAGGATTAATTTGTTGGGCTAACTGTTGATTTACCTGCTGTTGATTAAGTTGTTGCTGATTAAGTTGTTGTCCCAAGTTCTGAGTACTCAACTGCTGATTCAAAACTTGTACATTTAAATTTTGATTCAAATTTTGCTGATTAATTACTTGGTTCAAACTTTGTTGAGAAATGTTTCGCTGACCCAAGTCTTGAGTTTGACTAAAAGATGAGCCTACAAATTGTTGTTGCTGTACAGCTAAATTTGGTTGATTATGTAAAGTTTGTTGTTGACTAGTTACAGCTTGCTGTTGGTTCAAAAACTGTTGCTGTTTCTGATGCAAAATCTGCTGATTTTTTTGGGAGATAAGTTGACCCATATTCGGTTGAATAAAACTTTGTCCCTGATTTATTTGTATTTGTTGGGGACTTTGTTGATTTATCTGATTTTGTGTTTGCAAGATCTGATTTTGAAGTAGTTGCTGTTGTTTCAGTACTTGTTGATTTTTATTAAGCTGAATGTGTTGGTTTTGATTCAACTGAATTTGAGACTGGGTTTGCTGCATTTGTTGGTTTTGGTTCAACTGTAACTGATGCTGGTTCTGATTCAACTGAATTTGTTGCTGGGTGGAATTCAATTGAATCTGTTGCTGATTTTGGGTTTGTTGAATTTGTTGTTGATTTTGATTCAGCTGTATTTGTTGTAGATTTTGATTCAGTTGATTCTGTTGTTGGTTTTGGTTCAGCTGCATATGTTGCTGACCAGTTGAAAGTTGCATCTGCTGTTGATTTTGGTTAGACTGAATATGTTGCTGACCTTGATTAGATTGAATCTGTTGTTGATTCTGGCTAACTTGAATCTGCTGTTGACTTTGTCCTGACTGAATTTGTTGTTGAGTTTGATTAACCTGAATTTGTTGAGGACTAGCATTCATCTGTACCTGTTGTTGATTCTGTGAAACAGGAATTTGTTGCTGATGATTGGACTGGTTCAAAGTGACTTGTTGATTTTGAACAATTTGAATTTGTTGATTTTGTTTTATTTGAATTTGTTGCTGCTGCAACTGATTAAGTTGCTGCTGACTCAATTGTCCAAGATGTTGATTTGGCCCTAGATGTTGCTGATCCTGAATTTGTTGCTGATTGGTACTGGTCTGTTGCTGTTGTAATAGCTGACTTTGAAGTTGCCTTTGTGCTAGTTGACGTTGAAGCTGCTGTTGTAATATTTGTTGTGGAATTGGTATTTGTGCAGATGTCCTCTGGATAACATTATTTTGATTTTGCTGCTGAAGAAGTTGTTGATTCAACTGCGCTTGTCCCAACTGGGGACGTACTTGCAAGTTCGATCTTTGTTGAGGCTGACCTATTAACCTGCTTATATTTAAAGGATTATGCTGCTGTTGTTGATAGTTTGCTGTTGGAGTAGGTGTGTGATGTATAATAGTTTTTTGTAATTGTTGATTTGGTAAAGAAGTGGATGGTGATCTTGAAACTAATGGAAAATTTGAAGATACTTGAGGTGCAGCTTGCGTTTGATGTTGAAGTTGAGAAACTGTCTGTGTGGGTTGCTGGACCCTTGGTATATGATTAGGTAAGTGGGCAGATTTAAAAGTTGGAGCAACAACATTTGGAGGAGCAACATTTTGTGGAGCTACAACATTTGGAGGAGCCACAACATTTGGCGGTGCCACAACATTTGGCGGAGCCACAACATTTGGCGGAGCCACTGGGTCTGAGCTAGATGTAATTAGAGGAGTACTGGGCTGATTCCATGGCATTCTCTGTTTTAATTTTTCTAAGAGTGCTTGGGTAGAATCAGATATAACTTTTTCTTCATTTTGTTCTTCACCGATAACTTGCTCTGGTTCAAATCCAGTTATAGCAGTGGTGCTCTCATGTTTAAGGGGTTTAGGCCAATCAATCAAGCTAGGATGAAATAATGAAAAATCTGGATACGAATTGTGCTTCACAGCTTCAACAACCCAATCTGGGGTAACAATTTTAATTATATCTGACCCTAGACTTTCTGCTTTTTCATATTTGTAGCCAAGAGTATTAGTTGTAATGAGATAATCACATTTTCTATTCAAATTCAACTGCACTATACCTCCGTTAAAGGTAATAAGAGACCATAAAACATTACGATCTTCTCTTATGGAGCTGAAGCAAAACACAAGGTTGGAGAATAATTTTCCATTAGGAAAGTAAAGATAAGGTTTAACATGGACAAGCTTTTTCAATGCAGCACTTATAATCACCCACTTAGGAGTTACAGCAGGTATCTCATATATATCATTTGCATCTGCAATATCATTTTCTTCTGGATTCTCACCCACTATAAGATGAGTAACATAATCAGAAAAGTAATTGAGTCTCTCAGCACCACCACTCTTCAATAACTCCACTATCTGAAAACATAAAAATTGCAGATGTAAAAAATAAATTATTAACTTTTATTCGTAACGTACCTTTTCCTGAACTTCTCCACTGATGAAAAATTTTATTTCCTTGAAAATATCCTGCCTCAATTGTAACTTAATTTCTGTATCTGATAGATCACTCATTTTGTAGATGTATACTTTGGAATATATGAATATTACGACTTTCTTTGAACGGTATACTTCTTCATAATAATAAACAACAATAGGAACAAACTGAATATTCTGTTTACTTATCTAGTTTCTCCATTTTACTAATGTTTTTTCTTTTTCTCTTTTTTCGTATTCGCTCCAGTGACGTAATAATATAGTCTGGCCGTTGAAGAGAAAATATTGACTCCAACAACTAAAAAAAGATGAAGGGATCACGTCTTGACATCTGCGTCACTCATACACTTAACGTCAGGATACAACCATGGACATAACCTTATTCTGGTTCTCTCTCTCTCTTCTTTATTGGCCGATGCTTCCTACTTCCCTTATTCTGGTTATGTCGGTGGATAAAACACAGAATTTTTCTAAGTATTATTCTGTGGATACAGTTCTTAAATTCGTCATGATTCTACTGAATCTTCTTCTTCTTCTTGCTTTTGGTCTCAGCTTCCAAATTTGGCGATATTATGACCAGTACTCTTTTCATTACTGACATATGTGGAATTGGCCGCGGTGGTAGTGCGTCCGACTCACGATCGGAAGGTCGTGTGTTCTATTCCCGCCTTGACCAGATATTTTTCTCGGGAGAATGTATCTGTTTGAAGCTGGAATGATTCTGCAACCGTGTTAGGAATCACACGTTAAAAGGTAAGACCTCGTTAGTCCTTAGCTCGCACAAGTTTCCCAACTTCTGAGAGTTGTCGTTCGTATGGGGGCGGCAGCTGATTAACGAAAAAACAGATTTTAAACTGATTTTATTTAAACAGATATAATAACATGTAATACCTACTTTATACCACAGAACACCCTAATTACATAGGGTGTTCTGTGTTTATACCGTACGTTCCACTAAGCGCTCACAACGATCACGCTCAAGACCAAAGTTTTTCCCGTTCCACTCGTTTGCAAGCGTTACTGTCGTATACTCAAGTGGAATAGATTATGGAACGTTTTGGGCGTTCATCTGAACATTACAAATGGCGAGGTAACAATTATGAAGTAGAAGTTTTAATGAGGTTACGTAAACCTTAACAATAAGTTTCAATAATTGCAAGCAACTTTATTTATATCAAAAAAGAAGTATGAAAGAAGTATGAATGTAATCAAAATGTCTTTTACGGAAATTAGAGATTTGTAGATGCGTCGCAATAGTGCTCCAGAAACTAGTTCATCTAGTTCAGATGGAGAGTGGAATGCAACTTTGAAAATTATAATTGTGAAAACCGAAAACTTATGCGTAAGTATTATTGATTATGAGAATGTATTCATGTCATATTTCAAAGAATGCGCCAAAATATTCCCAACATCAACTTAACAACAACATAACTCTTCAGATGGGTCGTTGTGAGCTTGCCGTGAACGAAAGTAATGACGTCATGAATGACGTTTTCTAGGAGACCAAAACGACCGCGGTCATTATGTGGAACGGTTATCGGAGCAAAGGAGCATTTTGATTGTTGTGATGCAGATTAAATCTGTGGTTGTGAGCGCTTAGTGGAACGCACGGTTAGTTGGAGTACCAGAGTTTTGTTTTACACAATATTATACGCTGTTTCTTGATATCCTTATTTTTTCATTTTCTTTTTATCTTTCTGTCGTTTTCTCTCCATTGTTTTCTTCCATGTACTAGACTGTTAGAATTTAGACGGTAAAGACCAGGATAGATCGTCTTAAAGAACGGAATGTTCTATGGAGTTTCTAAAAACTGTTATGGAGTTCTGGGAGAAACCATTCCATCAATTATGAACATTCTTGCCAACATTCAGTATTGATTCGACATTCAAAAAAAATGTGTTCCAAAGTTTCCGTTTTTTCTAAAATCACAATAAGAACTATCTCTTAACTTTGAGTCGATATAAATGTTCTACGTGTATTTTACCATATGTTATATATGTTACATTTTTGTCTTTCTCCACTGATTTCTGAATTACGAATTTATCTTATGTTTATAAATTTACGTAGACTTATGTTTTATCATTTTCGACTCCCAATGATGTATTTGATGATATAATGATGTACCAATCTTAGCTAAAATATCTGCTTCTTCGTTTTCAATTATGTATGAATGTTCTGGCACCCATGCAAGATATCATTAATACTGAATCATAATCAAGATAAGATTTAACAAGACCATTAAAAAACGTTTTCAGGATGGAAACCTACTTGATATTCTGACATAATTTGTTTTTTTTTCTGTATTAAATCATCTTTTCAAATATTTGAAATGGGCACGATGCTAGTGGAATTAGTGCTATTCCTCCGATTGTTCCGATGTGTTCTTCCTATAGGTTAATTTCAAACATCAGCGCGTTTCAATTGGTTGACAAAATCAGTGAGAAATGTTCAATTTTATAAGAACTCGCCTTTAGTTGCCACTTATTTTTCTTCGTGCTTGTGTCCAGCAGTTTCTAATGGTTAAAGCCTCTTAACCGGTGAATGTGGTGGTAATTGCAAGATAAAATTAAGTCACTTCCTCTTCTTTACTGAATAATCAGGCTATAGAATCAGTTTTGTCCCTTAAGAATGAATAAAATTTGAAAAGTGGCGTATTTTTAAGAAAGATTATAATGAAATCAAAACCAACAGAAAAAAATGTCTAGTATATTCAAATAGTCTAGCACATTCAAAAAGTGGTTTTACGTTGAATTCATCGTCCGCAGCCAATATCTTTTCATGTTTTAAATTGAGGAATATTATACTAGTTCTTAGTTTTGATAAAAATATGAATGCATGAATTCTTTCTTCTCGAGGGTACCTATACCTGAATGAGCATCTCAACACATTGCATTGCAATGTAATAAGGTCAAGTGAGGTTATTCAGAGACGTCTATTAGACATTCAGCGATAACGTATATCATTAGTCAATTTCAAACTTATTTAATTATCTTGATTGATTGGCCATAAATTTCCATTAAACGTCAATTAATAGAATTATTTGACATAACTGATAAACTTATGATGCATTGTTTGGAACCTTTGGTGTAGTAATGAATATTACTGGAGTTTTTTTCCAACACCAAATCGTTATTTTTAACACCTCGACACGTGTTTCGATCACCAAGTGATCATCTTCAAGAGGAAAATCAAACTGCTTAATTTTCATCTTCAAGAGGAAAATTAAACTGTTTAATTTTCCTTTTGAAGATGATCACTTGGTGATCGAAACACGTGTCGAGGAGTTAAAAATAACGATTTGGTGTTGGGAAAAAACTCCAGTAATATTATTAATAAAGTTCATTTCAAGAAATGTGGCCACTCAACGTTAGTAATACAAAGAAAACCCATTTTGTTTCAGATTACTTGGTTAGCCTTCTAACTGAAGTGTTTTTTCTTGACAATTTCTATATTTACTTTTTAGATGAGCATGACTGGGCTTTCTTCAAAACCCAACATTTACTAGTTTCAGAAACCTTACATATCCAAAATAAATTTTCGAATAGTTTCAAACAAGTATTTGGGATGTAAGAATCCAGGAAAAAATAAATTCAAAGTTACAAACTGAACTAGTTATCTCATAATGGATGAGAATGCTTACAATACAAACTAAAACCCAGCTGACCTGTGATGATGCCAAGTCACAGTGGAAATACCATATACTACAAATAAATATACAACACTGCAATCCGAAAACGATCTCCGTGACAGCTGAGGTAAAAAGTTGTGTTTGTATTGGAAAAGCTTGTGAAAAATCTTAATTATTCCGAGCCATCTTTTAGTTTTAAGTTTCAAATATTATACCATACGAAATATAAAAAACATACCAAATGGCTGAAGCAGATAAATTGAACATTGATAGTATAATTGCCCGTTTGTTGGAAGGTAAATACGTGAAGGTCAAGAAATGTTGACAAAATAATGGCGTCTTGGTAAACGCCTAGGTAACAATTAATTAAAATATTTCTTTTCATCTGTAGTACGAGGAGCACGACCTGGTAAAAATGTACAGTTAACCGAGAACGAAATCAGAGGATTGTGCTTGAAATCCAGAGAAATTTTTCTTAGCCAGCCGATTCTACTAGAATTGGAAGCTCCCCTCAAAATTTGCGGTAAGTAACATTATAATGAAGATTGTGTTTTCATTGGGTTGTTCATTTCATCATTTAATTTAAACATATGTTAATATTTCTTGTACTTTGAAAAATGTTATTACAGAATCAAAATTTTACTTGAATCAATCAATTGTTGATGCATAACTTTATGTAAGTGAAACCACTTCTCCGAGTTTACTTCTTAAGTTTGCCAATTGATTATTGCATCCTCTAGTCTCAAATTGTATCAATTCACATATTTATTAACATTTTCCAATATCTGTCAAATTCTATAAAATTGAAGTGCCATTGAGAAGCATTTGTCATACATGATGATGCTGATTTGCTTCAAGATTTAGTTCTGGTACATGTTCATTAGATTCATTTTATGTCATAGGTTTCAATTCTATTTATAATGGTAAAATGATCAAATGGATGTTGGTTATGGTGAATATTTTATGTGAAACGGGTCAAAAGGGTAGGAAATCTTTTATTTTCTGCTAATGGTAATGAATTTGAAGGGGAACAAGGAGGTTTTTTAGGGTCTCTGTTGAATCTGATTTATATCAATGATATAAATGATTACCAATAATGTATTATTACCAACTATTTTGCACCCTATTATCATTCTCGGGCACTAACCTTCAATGCATTATCAATAAACTGAATTTCAAATACATTATTGTTTATTAATGAAATTTTAGTAGATAAAAATAGAATTGAAAATAACTATGTAGGATTATTCAGCCAAATTTTGACTGATGTGGTAGTGGTAGCTTACTATAATACTCTTTTGAATTGATAAAACTCTTCTTGAAGAGTAGAATAAATTATTAACACATGAGATCAAAGAGTCAAATACTGTATGAGTTCAGATAAAAAAATCTGCAATGATTGTCATTAAGAAAATGAAGATTATATCAGCACCATTATATTTATATGACGGTATTACATTCAACAATTAAGTTCATGAACACTTCTGAATAGAAATGAATTGCATATAATATACAAGATTGATATCGCTGGGCATATGAATTTTTAAAGTCTTCAACCAGTTTAACAATTGGCCTGTTAATGTTATATCTGCAAAAACTCATTTCATATTTTTCGAAATACCTTTTAAAATAGGCTTAATGTAATGTTATAATTTTCCTTATAACTTGGTATTATGGATTTATGTTTACTATTGTGTAACATTACCTGTACTATTTACTTATTTTTATATTAGAGTTCCTATTTAAATGAAATACATCTATCATATGCTTGAAATGAATGAAAACACTTTTGTCTAATTTCCACTAGTTATTTTATTTTTACAACCAGTTTTGGGTTTTATCCCATTATCAAGTATGAAACTAACTAATTAGTCAGTTTTTATACTTGATAAAGGGATAAAACCTGAAACCTTTTTGTAAAAATTAAAATAACTAGTGGAAATTAGACAAAAGTGTTTTTATTCATTTCAATAAAGTGATCATGGATTTCCACAAAATAAACAAGTCATCAATTACACAAATTATCAAATGCTTATTTGAAGGAAGTAATGCCAAAGCAGAGCTAGGATATTTTTCTAAATTCCTCTCTGACTCAATATTTTCCAAAACTAACCATTTTCTGTCTGGTTTTTATCTCTTCAATGAATTTCAATTGAAGGTTAAATGTTTAAAAGTTAATATATTCAAGAAAATTGTATGTTTGGAAGAAATGGGTGAGACAGTTGTCTCCCAAAGCTACAAAAAATGTCTATAAATTTGCATAATATGCTTTATTTTGTAATAGCTGTGATCATATTTCTTTATACTATCTTATTTTAGGTGATATTCATGGGCAATATTATGACCTCCTTCGTCTTTTTGAATATGGAGGGTTCCCCCCAGAATCCAATTACTTATTTTTGGGAGATTATGTAGATCGTGGAAAACAATCTCTTGAAACAATTTGCTTACTACTGGCATACAAAATTAAATACCCAGAAAACTTTTTTTTGTTGCGTGGTAATCATGAGTGCGCTTCAATTAATCGTATTTACGGATTCTATGATGAATGCAAAAGGAGGTATTGTTTTTTAATAAACTGGTATTCCAATTAAATTCATGTCATATTGTTCCAGGTACAATATAAAGTTGTGGAAAACATTCACTGACTGTTTCAATTGCCTACCTGTTGCTGCAATCGTAGATGAGAAAATATTCTGCTGTCACGGAGGTAAGAATTGATTACAATTTCTAATTTTTTCTGACACAATGAAAGATATGATATAATTTGAAAACGATAGTACACAGTCCTTCAAAGAAGCAGGTCTCAATTAGAAACTCAGTCTATTTCTATAGTGTATTATTTTTTTGGGTTATTCTACTTACTGTATAATGCATCATCTGGCAAAAGTATCACAGAAAGGACCGTAAAATCCCTCATTCTAATTTCACTTCATAACTTTATCCAACGAAAGCTGGGTATATATAAACATTTCTATTGTATGAAGAATCAAAAATACTTCTTGGTTGAAGTAACTTCATTCCTAGTTAATGAATTTGTAATGAATAGCAATATTTCATCTTTGTTCACTGCCTTAACTATATTTTTTTTTAGGATTAAGTCCTGACTTACAGTCAATGGAACAAATCAGAAGGATAATGAGGCCAACTGATGTGCCTGACCAGGGGCTCTTATGTGACTTGTTGTGGTCTGATCCAGACAAAGACCAAATGGGCTGGGGCGAAAATGACAGAGGGGTCAGTTTTACTTTTGGCGCAGAAGTCGTAGGGAAATTTCTGCACAAACACGACTTTGATTTGATATGTCGAGCGCATCAGGTTGTTGAAGACGGGTACGAATTTTTCGCAAAACGACAACTTGTTACTCTCTTCAGTGCGCCAAACTATTGTGGTAAGTTTGAAAAAAGTTTTTATATTCAGTAATATTATGTTGGAGGTGGTGGAAACAAAGCTCACTAATATTTCAGGTCGATACAAGTTAATTATCATTTACACAAGTGTTAGGGTTTTAACCCGTTACCAATGTGGACTGTATATAATTATTCACTAGTATTAATGAAAGCCCAAGTACTTTCAACAAACTATATTTCCAAATATTACACAATGTGCAATGTATGCACTGTTTGTCTTCTATTCTAACGTGTTACCATCGTCACACTTGACTCACTACCCAAAAGCTCTTAAAACTGTTATCTCTCTATGCGCGAGAGGTGTGTTGGCATCGTTGCCAGATATATAATTTATCCTATAATTTCTAACAACAAGTATATGCCTATACAAGAACATCATTTACTGGTTATAAAATGTAAAGGGTATTCGTGCATAAATGCTCAAAACTATGACCGTTGATTAACTACTCTTCCCGAACTTCAATCGATCGATGATAAACAAAAGTTATCATATTTGTGAACAAGCTAAATAGAAATGAGTCAAACTAAGGGGACAAAGAATCCTACAAATGTAATAAAAGATGAACATTACCGATAAAATATGCAACATATGTTCAATTTTTATTATTAAAATGTAATTATTAGTAATTTCAAAGTTTGTGCAAACTGAACAGTAACACATAAGCTTTCATTTTTGTTTAATATTATTTAAGGAACGAATATATTGTTAGAAGTGAGGAAGTACATAGAGAAGCCTTAGTTATGAGGTAGTCTTTATCCTGAAAATAATAATGAGCTAAGTACAACACAGAATTTTTCAAACTAGTTGCTAGAATATCTTTCATCTATTTCCAAATGAGGTCTTTCCAATATTTTACCCATACACTATTATGGCATTTTACATAAGTTCAAATAAACATACATATATTAGAAATAACACAAAAAGGTGTTAAATTAAAAAAATTAAAAATAGAATGATTGTAAGAACACAAAGAAAAAGATGAAAATGTCAGTGATAAAACAGCTAGCTGTCTATCGGTTTGTACTTTGAATTGAAGTAAAATTGTAGGTGGTCATTTTTAAATTTTTTTATTCTTGTCTGGGTGTGTTTTGGCTTGTGCAGTTGTGATTATGCACCTTCTATTTCAACTTACTACAGGCTTCACAGTCAGAATCAAGTAGGTCTCCAAAAGATAAGCCTGAGTATAAGTCATCACATATCTTTTTGAATGAGCAAACTTTTAGTTTTCTCTTGATCTCATAAATAGCATTTTTGTAAGGGAAGATGGCTCTTTGTGTACAGTTGTGCCCGGCATTGCATTTGTTGTTCAGTCAAGCCCTTCTGATATAACCTATAGCAGGTCGAAATAGCACTGTCTGGTCTTGGATCACTAATGATTTGTTTTTGAAAATTCACAGTAATATATTAATATTCATTTACAACAAAGTTTTCTTGTTATCTCCGCTAAGTAGTTTTCCAATGACTAACATCATAATTGGTCAATTAGAAAATATACTATTTTCCACTGTTTTTAATAAGAGGCTTTCCGAGAAGGAAGTTATTTGTTTTTATTGTTATAGAATAATAGTTTTTCAAATATGATTGTCTTAATTTTTCAATTTAATATATGCAAGTGTGTTTATACATATATATATATTCACTTTTTTTTAGGTGAGTTTGATAATGCAGGTGCGATGATGTCAGTTGACGAAACATTGATGTGTAGTTTTCAAATATTAAAACCAGCAGACAAAAGGAAGTTTCAGTACAACATGAATGCTGGTAGACCTGTAACACCTCCGAGGGGTGCCACGAATAAAAACAAAAAGAAGTGAATTGATGTATACATAAGGTTAGGGTTAGTTGAAACATGATTATAACATTTTTTTATCATTTTAAATACTAAAATTTAAAGTGAGGTAGTAATAACTTTCAAATGTTTTTTAAATGTTTTGCAATTTTTTGTTAATCACTTCTAGTAGGTTAGGATAGTAAAGTGGATAATTCAGTATAATTATCTTGTTACATCATTAAATCTTAGTATTTAAAATGTCGAATCTGGGCCGTTTTACTTTATTTCATATTTGGTATTACATTAACAGTAATATCTATTTATTGAATTGAAATAAACTCATAGGTAGAATATCAGATTCAAATAATTGAAACGGCTTTAACAGTATGGTGCAGCCAAGTGTAAGGATGGGCAACACTTGGTTACCAAAAGATAGAAATACAAATGCAAGGAGCCACCAGCAGGAGCCAACCGCACATTTGTGGTTTCAGTTGATAGATCTTGTGTTTACAAGAAAACTATCAAAATCACCAAATATATATATATATACATCTTGACCAAAAGATGAAAATTGTGGAGCAACCCAGAGCTGTGTACAATGAAATTAAGAGCCGAGTGTTATTGTGGACTGAAGCTAATGGCAGACTTTGTAAAAAAGAGATTACTAGCTGAAGCTGCATGAGCATGACGAGAAAGAATCGCCCAGTAGTTTTTCAAAAATCAAGAGAGAAAATACCACTGAAGTTCACAAGGAAAATGCCATCAAACAGATCGTTCGGATTGGTTTCGCAACATGAAAACTGTTGAAGATGGTGACATTGTAACAACAGCTTCGAGAACGAAACGTGGATATCCTACATCATTTCATTCGAGACGTAAGCATTAGGTACTCAAAAATATAAATGATGCAGAATAAACATGGAAATTAATCAACCACAGATAAAAGAGATAAGCATCATATCAAGTGGGAGTGTTGAAGTTTAACACGGTTCTGATATGATGCTAATTGTTATTTATGTTATGTTCATATATATACAGATTGTTTGCATAACGTGTATTTTGAAAATAAGTTATAGTTGTTAATAAACAAGATTATAGATTTGTACCACGTATTTCAATTTAAAGTTGAATATACGTTGTAACTCTGCAATTTAAGACCATCAAGGAGCTGTTTGGTACACGTCTTTTGTAGGTTTATCTGGAATTTATGGCTCCTTCCATTCAGGCTTTCCCATTACCGAGTAAGTAGGTCATCTCGAAGACACATGGAGTCCCGTTGGAGCTCAGAAATTTGCATTCCAGTCACACCGCTTTGTCGACCCATTCTCGTACAGTTTTCAAGACCGGATCTTCCTTTATATGTTTAATTTATCGTTTTATACTCATTTTTACTGCACTGAAAAAGCTCTCCAGTGAAAAGCAAAAGCTTGGCAAAGTAAAGCAGAGCTTTTGTTTTGTTATTCCATTTTCCTATATACAGAGCGATGACCGTCGGATAGCCGTATTTTAGAAAATATTCATATCCTGAAAATTGGCAAATATAGTTTTTTTAATATGCTTCATCGAATGAAAATAATGGCATAATACGCACCAAAAATTAACCGTTCTCGAGATATTCATTTTACTCAAATAAAACTAGATATTCATCTCTCGAGTGTTTCCCCCATAAAATTCAAAAGTTTGATCGAATACATAAATAAGCCATTATTGATTCACTAAAATATTTCATTCCATTGTCTTACATTTGTAACATTTCCAAAACCTTATACAAGGTGTTCGGATTCGATGACTCATTCTGAAAATATAAAAATGTGCCAAAATTTAGTTTTTCCAAATATAGTTTTGAAATTCCCAGGCATTTATTAACTATCTGCATCAAAATATTTACATCACCATTGAGTTGTCTTCAAACATATTTAGAAATAGTTTTTATATTTTGTGGGAAAATGCAATGCAATACTTTTGATGTTTTACTCCGTCATGAAACATTCAGAATAAAATGTTAAAATGAACATATTTTAATTTAATTATTACTACATCAAAGGTTCCAAACAGTACATCATAANATGCAATCGGCAGCTAACAATTCAAAAATTGATACCTGATCAATTGTAGGATGTGTCGCTCGTGATAGTATTTTTCATTTTTAAGTTTTATTTGCAGTTTGTTCACTGAGATAATCCGAAAGCAATTTCATGGAATAATTGAGGTGACAACTAACTCTAGTTACAAATAAATATAGTAACCAACTCGGTAAACTTTGTGCTACAAAAGAAATCTAGATATGGTTGATTTAACGTGAATTGGACTCCAAAAGTAATAGATTTTTGACAGAGAGTGATAGATTTATGAAAAAATTTCGCCTGCCGGATCCTCTGATACATAAAAATCTATTACTTTCTATTTCTAATGATTCTGAGAAAACTTTAGGAAATGTTTCAGCTGCCATGCAATGCAACACTGCCTTTAAACTTTAATTTAAAAAAAATATAAGAAAAGTAAGTTTATCTTCTTCCTTGGAAATTATTATGGAGCTTAGTGTTCAGCAAAATCTTGCTTTCGATATTTTCAAAGAAGCTGAGAAAATATATAATGAGTCTGGGATGTGTAAGCTAACCTTTTTACTTGCTTAACTGAAAATATAAATATTTTTTCTAGTTAGTGAAAGAATATTGGAAATTCTTCATTCTTTCTTTGGAGAAAATTTGCTACTTGCAGCAGAACTTCTGGAGAAATGTAAATTGATTGAATATAGTATAGAGAATACGAGAAGAATATTCAAAATTGTAACAAGCAAGGAACAATATACAATCTATGAAAATGTCAACTTTTGCTTATGTGAATCTTTTCATTTGCAAGTTCTGAAATTTAGGACTAGTTTAACTTGTAAGCATGTGTTAGCTGTGAAATTAGGCACAATTTCTAATCATTTGATTAAAGAAATAGTGTCTGGATCTCAATTAGTGGATTTCTTGAATGAACAAATCAATTCCATAGATGAAGATGAACACACTTGAATAACTGCTTATTTTTTATACTATCTTAAATTAAACTCATATTATCATAAATAAGTTGAACTTTCATTTTAAAATGGACATATTTATTCAGAAAAATTAACAATTATCAAGTAAGGAATAGAATTGAAATGGGTATTTTTTTAGGAGATACATTTTTGATATAGAAAGGTTTTGGCTTTCTACTTCTCCATCTTTTTTGTGTAACGATATAGAAGTATAAGAACAAAACCTTTCTTTCCCAAAGAATAAAACTTTCAACTTTAATTGCCCCAATTATCTCACTAGTTCATATCGAGCAAGTGATTGGCTCATTTCAGAACACAGAAGAGATAATTTTAAAATATCAAAACATTGTCAATCATGTGTGAAATTCAACTTGTTCCCTGCTAGTTGATAATTCAAACTTGTTACTTGCTAATTGAGTGTGCCCAAATTCACCTCACATTATACACAAGACAATTTAACATACTGTGTTTATTGCAAGAATTTTTTTTATAAATGTCTATATAAATAAAACCAAAGTTGTATAAACGAAATTAGCATATTTATTACTTGAAACACTAAGAAACATAAAATAAATTTGGTGTTTTCGGAATATGGTTAGAAGTTGTAGGACCACTTGAAAGAAATGAATTATTTATTAATTGCAATATTTTTTATTCAACATTCATATTTATAAACAACCATATCTACATATAAGTAAATATATTTACATAAAAAAATATTGCTGATTCATTAAACAAACTTCAAGAAAAATGTCTCAATTTAAATAAATGTGAATATCCATACACCTCCCTTTAAAGTAAAGTTGTGGTGTATGTACGCCATTTACGTTGTGACAACTTTCTCAAAGTGCAAATAAAAGAAAGGTGTATACACCATCCATTAACGCACGATATTTTTCAAAATGACATGTAGAATACATATTATATACGAATATTCATTAACATTGATAAATGCGTTTGAAAGAAATTCTTTTGAATGTGAATCACTAATTGCTTTTCCATAAGGCTCAGATACTACAAACTCAAGATCAGGAATCGCTATTGGATGTACTGTACATTAACTTGAAACTTTCAGGCTGGGAGTTACTCAATATATTCTTGGATGGAAAGGTTTATCAAATGTCTCTTTATATTATGTGAAGATATTTTTTCTAAGAATACGGCAGTGATAATTGAAAAACACGGAAGGTCACATGACTGAGTGTGAATTATCACTTTAATGTGAGATCGACAACCCTTTACGAGTATGTCAAACATAAAATCTTATCGTTATTTTCGAATTTTTATTTGTAGTTTTAATATGAGTAACTGTTACTATTTGATTTATAACAATTTTTATTGTATTTAAGAATTACCCATAAATTCAACATTATACATAAAATGCCTCATATTTTTCAAGTGAAATAAGGTCTATTCAGATGTTATTCCAGAGTCTTCTGATTGAAACAGATTACACCAAAGATCAATCAATCTACTTAATTTTGGTATACTCCTCCCGCATTGTATTTTATTCATTTCAATAGCAATAACAAAGGAATAAGATTTCATAATTAATACTCACTATTATTATTAGTATATCATTTGGGACCTTACTTGTATCCAAAATAAAGTTCCCATATTATCATGTCAAAATAATCAACACTTTGCAGAATGATCTGTGCTTATAAACTTGTTTTAAGAAAGCAGTGGTTCAGAACCAGGTGTTAACTAGGTGTCATCCTCAGCAAATCCAAAATGTCAAAATGTGTGTGAAGTGAGAATTACAGGGTTTTACTGTTTTTTTGAATGTAGTTGTCAATGTTTCTTGGTGAGTGTTGGTAGTTTGAACAATCATTGTTTAATAATTTAATAAATGGGTTAGGCATCCCGCCACGTCGATATTTTCTTCAGCATTATAAAACAGTATTGGAGAAAAAAACTTTGAATGATTCAAAGTGTGTGAAGTTTAGTGACGTTACAGAAGAGAAAAGATGTTTATAGAGATGTAAATTTGACTTGAGATTCTTGTTCCATATGCGTGGTTATCACAATGTTCAGCAAATTAATTAACGCTTTTATGAATCTCTTATAAAACTTTGGAGAAATATTTAATAATAGAAATGGCTTGATGTCCATAGTTCAAGAAAAAAGTCGACAAAATCTTTGTAACCTGCCTTGACTATTATTCCTTGGCATTTTTGTGGCACCTGAAAATTATTATGGAGTTACCTCTTTTAAGTGTCAACAAGCCAACCAACTTGTTTAAAGAATAAACAAAACAATGGAATGTTTGCTGGGCTTCGATATAATCAGAACTCGTTTTATTATCACAAACTAATCCTAAAAAGATTAACCCTTTTAGTTTGAAGAATTTCGAAAGGTGCAATTATATGCTTGTTATCTTCTGTTATTGTAAGTTGTCTAAGTCTTTGTTAGAACAAATTAAAGTTGTATATTCTGTAAATGAGATACATCTTGCTGGTTTCATAACACTGAATAGATCATTGATATAGATTAGTAGCAAACCAATTATAGCATATAATTGGTTTGCTACTAATAAACAACCTAAATAAAAACAAAACTTGGAATATAAGTTCATCTTCCTATTCCAACGTTTCTTAAACTAATATTGGTATAAAGATGAAGAAGTAGAACGTCAAAACCTTTCCCAAAAATTATTCTCCCCTAAAAATATATCCCTTCAATTTAATCGTGTTGAGTTTTTAGAACTCAATATATATAAGTAGCTTTTCGAATTACATCAAAGCTGTGACCAGCCCACTTGTTACTATTTTGAATAATGTACCTTGATGACACCTAAAAAAACCTACTTAGGATTATTCAACTCAGTTATTTTTCACAGTACATATTCTGATTTGTGGAGATTTATGTAACTCCATAATTGTTTTAGGTGCCAGAAACAAAATCACTACATTGCAACAAAATATACATTACTAATTTAAATTATGAATTTTCCTACCTACCCTATCAAATTGTAATATCCCCAAAAATGACCTGAATTTGAAAAATACAAAAGCAATTTGTATACCATAATTAAAGAGATCTATTGGTGAAAAAATTGGTACTTGGATGTAGAAGTAGAAAATACTTTTTTCAATTTTTCATTACTTTAAGGATTGGTCAGCATTTTCGTTTTCTATTCAATAAGTAAGTGTTGTTCGGTAAAATTGAATATAAAAGGGTATTATTATATTGACTAATTTCGATTCCTACAAGTACTTCTTCTCACAAGGTTATAGAACCCTTCGACAAAAAAATCCTCTGCCCTATAAAACACTTGATGATTCACATTTTCTTGTAAGGAATAAAAGAAATTTCAGTTAATATTTGAACACTGTTGGATTACGTTATACCTACTTACCTATGACTAGAAGATATCAGGTGACAAGAAAAAAATACTTCCTCATTTCAAATGAACATATTTGTATAAATTGATGGATGTAGCCGTTACTACGTGGTAGGAAATCATAATGAAGAAAAGAGAAATGAAACTTTCTATGTTTTTTACCACTTTTTTTTGTAACTAACGTTACTGCAGTTTCGTCTTATATGGAAATTTTTAAACTTGTACAAAGTTTATTGTATAAGTTTGAAAATGTCCGTATAGGACGAAACTGCAGAAATGTTAGTTACAAATAAAAGTTGTAAAAAATATGTTTAAATATGATTGTTTGTTTCGAATATGGTTGTTAATTTTCGAAGCTTAACATAATAAATACCATCTAAATCTTAAAGGTTAAGCTAAAATGATTGACTTCAATTCAAATGTTTTTATATCTTCTCCAAAACTTAACAAAATGCAGAACATTCAGTAAGTCCTAATAATAAATTAAAATATTTGAATAACACTTTATCGTGAGATCTTTCACTATATAATAGCTTCTTCAGGAGTGTTCCGTACCAACAATAAACTGTTATTTCAATACATTATAATGAATTTTCATCAAGAATCGGTTAGTTATTTCATGTGCAATAATAAATGCCCTTCTTTACTCGATTTTGTAGTCAGAGATTTTAATAATTCTCAGCCAATATATAGGCACATGTTATTATGCATATAACATAATTTTTGTCTCAAATCTCAATTCAAGTATATTAACCAGCAATAAGGACTTACTAAAATCTATTTTTATAAACTTTCAAAAGCCGTGATTATAGGAATAAAACTTATTCAGATCTAATAGTTTTTAGCTAGTTTATGTAAAGGATGTCTTTTGTGTATTTGTATTTTAACCTATGATAAATCATTCTCGTAGAGTATTTATTTTTTGAAAAGGTGTTCAATTGGTGATAAAATGATACAAAGGATAATTTTACGCAACTATACCTTCTATGAGACTGTCATTACAGAGAGAGGAAGCACTTTTTTCACCTAGTAATAATAATAATAATAATACTTCGAGTAGTTTCTTACTTATTAATTATTTTTTAGAAGAGAATCCTCCTTGATTTTCAGCTTGATACCGATCAACTTGAGTCCTGCAAATCATATTTCTATTAATTCGCAAACATTGTGCCCTTCACCCATTGAGAACTTCATAATCAAACATAATTTATTGTCAAACAAATTGAAAGATCGTCTTCGTCACCCAAAGACAATTGTGGATACTAACAATCGAAACGTCTTGAAGTAACTTGGTTTGAAATCTTTCAATTTCTATTTCTTTTTTATTGTTCAATTCTCAATTATTGCTTGTATTTTATTTTATTGTAATTTCAATTCAGTGTTTTTTGTTTAATATAATTGTTATTTCCAGTTATTCATTTTTATTTTATTAATTCTATCAGGGATAATAAATCATTTTATATCATATTAGAGAATGGAAGTCAGAACTAATGAAATTCACAATAAACATCTCGATTCAACTTTGTGCTTGGAGTTCATGTTAGACTGGGCAGAACATAAAAGTGTATAAATATACACATTTGTATACATATGTATAAAATATGTTAGTAACTCAGTTGATCAAAAATGTGTTCTTGGACATGAAAATGTAAGTGAAGGTCGATGTTGATGGTTGCTTTTGCAATAAACCAATGTTGGGACCATCGTTTATCTTGGTTATTCATGTTGTTTAAGCAATTCCTAGATGATGTATTTGCAAGTTGAGTCGTCATCGCCCCTACTTGAATGGAAAAGAACTTTATATTCACTTTATCCTAAAATTATTTTTTTGGGTTCTGGCATTATTTGAACTAGCAAAATACGTATGGGAAAAACCTTCATCACCGTCTGTGGAGATAACTGAAAAACTGCTTCAACAAAGTGGGGATCTGAATAACTACAGGTCTACTTACTGGACATTCTATATATAGGGATAGATGCCTCAGCCGCAGAAACAGTTTGTCATGATTTATGCGGGAAACATCCACCAAAGTATCTGTACAAACTAACAGAGAATAAAATTGTTGAAATAGGAAATGCTACAGTGTTTTACAAAGATTTTGAAGAAATGGACAAATCAGACATCTCCCAAGCATAAAAAATCTAGATTCACAGACCAGAAATCTGATTTCTGTATCATCACCATTAATGAACTGGTCCCCTTACTTAAAGTTTTTTAAAACGTTGAAACATTTTGCTCATGAGCTAAAGTAACTTAAAATACTATAACTTCAACAATTTTTCAATTCACTAGGAATCTTCCAATCAGAATTACAACTGGGAAACAATAAGAAAATTCTGATCTTTTTTTGATTTAGTGAGGTCATATTCCATTATATTTGTGGTGTTTCGGGGTTTTACAAAGTTTCGCCAATACAAGCAGTTAGCACTTTCAGGATTACAAAGAATCTGCACTTCTGAAAATGTTCACCACTCTTGATGGCAAAAAGTGGAAAAATTACTTAAAACAAATGACGGGAGACAGTCCCGAAACATTACAAATGTAAAGTATTATTGCATGCAGCTTGTGACCATTTTCGTGCTAGCAGTCTGGTATTTAGAGAATGTTCTGGAAAAAAGATGAATCATCGTGGGGAGGAACTAGTTGAGGTTGAGGAGGGATGGACCTGGGAAAAATTCCATAAATATTCCGATCTGGCTTATTCAAGGTTTGCAGAGAACTCTGAGGCAGTTTAGTACAGCCATTGGCCTTTGAAAAAAAGCATGAGAAAACGAAGTAAACCAGTGGAAATTAACATTAGCTTGTGTGTTGTTTTTGAGTCACTGAATAAGGTGTTAATTTGCAAGTGGGTTACTTTTTCAAATAACGTAACATTACACTATAACAATAAATTTAATCTGTTAGTTTCATGTTGAAAAGGAGACCTACTTTTTGTGTGTTGTTTTTGAGTCACTGAATAAGGTGTTAATTTGCAAGTGGGTTACTTTTTCAAATAACGTAACATTACACGATAACAATAAATTTAATCTGTTAGTTTCATGTTGAAAAGGAGACCTTCTTTAATGAATTTCTTAATTTTCATTATTTTGACCCAAAATTTCAAGGACTCCTGAAATACACTTCAATTATTGACCAATTTATATAAAAATATAATTATGAAATGTAAAAAGGTAGTTACGAATTCTAAAAGTAATTACATTCTGATGGATGATTTGAACTGAACAAAATATCAGTTTCAATGCAACGATCGATTATTTGGGTAAAAATATATTTCTCTAGGCTATCTATCTTGTTTTGATAAATCATATTTATAAGCTGGAACATTTAAATATTTACCTTGCCCTAAACAAAGCTGTACTGATTATCAACAGCCCGACTTGAAGCTTCAGCCTGTATTTGCTCTATTGATGTTTCCTGAGTTCTAACGCTACCATTGTAACTCTGAACCTGAAAAAATGGTTCAGGTTCTAGTGATTCAGTTGAATAAGAATATGTATATACAGGTTGCATTTTATTATTAGTTTCAGTGACGAACAAAAAGGTAAAATAAAACAAATATTTCAAAAAGACTAAATGTTGTATTTACAGGTTACACCTAAAATTATTGAAATAAAATGATATAAATAATCACAATGCTCACATTTTATAGTGTAAATCTTTAGTAAATAGTGTTTGTCTATACATCTACAATATAAATTGTGAGAATAAAACAAATGATAAAATTTATAAATGAAGGATTTTTGTGAAAACATTGTGAATGAAAAATGCATTATTTGTAAATAATTAAATAGAAAATTGCACCAAGTTATTTGTAGAGAAAGAAATGTATTGTACTGTATAATTTGAAATATGCCAGAAAAAACAAATTTCATGACATGAATATGTTCAAAATGCTCCATCGAGTATTATCTAATATTCAATATAGGAAATTAAAGTTTCCTATATAATTACCTCATTATAACTGATAGTCTTTCATTTTTTTGACAAAATGAAATACTTTTGAGTTATCATACAAAAAATAAATTATTTTTTACATATTAAGCAAAAAGGCACATAAATACATTTACAATAAAAATATGTACAAAAGATGAATAAAAAAACAAATTCACTATGTGGTATGAAAGACATCTTAAAATTTTCTTCAAGTTTAATTCCTCCTCGGTTGGAGCAAAAAAAGATGTGTTTGGTTGATTATGTCTAGATGGAAGTACAATTTGTTTCGGTTAAAGTTCTTTTCTAAATATCGATTGTTTTCTAAGTATAACGTTCACAATGTTAGTGATTACTTAAAATTGATTTTATTTGTATGTCCACTCGAGTATATATCATCTGAAATAATTTAAAGAGGAAATATTGATTTGTTTATAATGGATATACTGAAAATCTACTTAACCATTTCTGTGACGTTCAGGATGTGTTCCTGGGAAAATAGACAAAGCATGTGCGTCATATGATATGAAAACAGGTTTTTCAGCTATTTTCTGGAGGAGAAGAATTTGCGCCCTTTGCCCAATCCTGGACTAGTTTTCAAAATAGCTACATTATCAGTGAATAACATGGACTGTATTTCATTTAAAAAAGAATGCCTATGAAATATACAATGAAATAACCCAAGATATCAAAAATTCACCTATTAAAGTCAATTACTCAGCTTGATGAAGAAAATCTAGCACTTTGCACAACTCCCCAAAGTGGTAAAAAATTGAAATTTAGAAGGTCAAAATGAATCCTTACTTCTTTCACATAAAAAATAATACAGATGCTGTCCCAGTATTGAAGATTACCTTGGAAAAAAAAAACATATTACATAAAAGAACTTCAAACAGTAATTATGTCTGTTAAATATGTTTTTCTGTTAACCAGTTGTCGCCTCCCTATGAACGACAACTCTCAAAAGTCGAAACTTCTGTGAGCTAAGGACAAACGAGGTGTTATCTTTTAACTTGTGATTTCTAACATAACAAAAATCCATTTCACTTACAATTATGAAGTAAGGAGTCATGTATTTTTATTTGTAATTAAGATCAGAATGGAAAATAAGTTTTTTTCTAAGGACAGAACACAAGCACTACAGGAAAATCTTCAAGGCGCTCTAAGAGCGGTGCCTGTGCTAAAGTGGCAATTCACGTTGGATTTGAATCACTGGAGATTAAATTCACTTGAAAAAACGTTCTCAGGAAATGTATCCCACATAAATGCCGTTCTCTAAATGAAAGAGTTCTTAAGCAGTGAAGTTCAATGTGTACTGAGTTGAACTTCAGAACGATGAGCAGGCACAGTCCGTCGCGTATTTCTGATATGGTAGAATCAAATATGCTAAGTCATTTGAACACCTCCTCTCATGAAAAAAAAAATATTTATAGTTTCTCTAGTTAACTGAAAATGAATAATAATAATAATAATGGATCGGCATTATCCATCACCAATATTCAACAAAGTACAACAACACGAAAAACTATATACTAGAAAGGGATGAATGGGAAGAGTGTAACTAGAAGCTGTTTCTCAACTCAACCTCAAATTCCTATAGTGAAAACTGCAAATATCAACAAAAATATACAATGAATACAAATACTATCTGAAAGTTAAACTTATAAACCGCCAGGAGTTGATACCTACTACTAAAGGTTAAGAATCATATTCTACTTCCGAGAAAACTTAATAAAGCACAAAATGTCACAAAATAATACCAAACCCTGACAAAATGATGTTTCAATCTTTTTTAAGTTCAAAAGAGTGTACTTTCTAAACTTATGTTGTATCTGATTATAAATTTTAGGTGCCTTACAGGAAATACAATGAGTATAAGTGGCAGTTCCATGTTTGGGAATGACTTTGTTATTACACGTTTCAAGTTTGTTTATATTGAAGAATGTTTTCAGTTTACAAAAAAAGATAATCTGGTTTTTGGGCAGTCAGGATCTGATGGGTATTTATTAACAGGTGGACTGTTCTGAGGGTATAGGCTTTCACAGCCAGAGTTATAATAAGAAATAGCAAAATCTGGGCTGGTAGATTGCGATCAAAGAAATTTGTATTACTAAACGTTTTGTCTGTTACCGCAACTGTCTATTTCTGAAGACGGAAGCATATTTTAGCCTCCGAAACGTCAAGATAAGTATTGTATAATTTATTAGCTTTTTTTGAAAGTCAAAATTATTAACTACAAGTTACTTATAAATAAAACATTTTTATTTGTGAAAAATACTTTGAATTTACGCAGTAACTTATCGGGGTATACTAAAAAGTTTGCCCTTTTTACACGTGCATAAAGTTCTCCATTACAATTTTCATATTTTTTCAGATTGTGGGTGAAAGGTGAAAATACCCAAAGAAGGTCGATATATTATTGTATAATTCAAAACCAAAAAACTGAATCGTTTACTAATACCTTGTTGAACGGTTTCAGTGTTTACTTAAAAATTAAATTTGTTTCAGTTTGTTTGTCTATGGTTTTTGGGATTGTATAAATTAATAGCGTACTCCTTATAATTTTGTTTGAAAATACATTTCATCACTAATTTTGCAGTATTGTCTCAAATTTTTGTCAAATAATTTCGTTTTGAATTACATTTCTTTAAGACTTGTATTACCTTGGTTTTTATAGTTTAAACCTAATTGGAATATTTCTATTACCATTTCTTGTTTTAAAAAAAATTGTTTTTTCCGTTAACCAGCTGTCGCACTCCTACGAACGAAAACCCACAGAAGTCGAAACTTGTGCGAGATAAGGACTAACGAGGTCTTTCTTTTTAACGTGTAATTCCTAACAAGGGTTGGACGAAAGCAAATGAAAATCGAACGGCCTGGGGCTTGAACCATGGACTCACACACGTCGAACCGACCAACCTGAATACTCTTAAGCTTCTCTTAGGTTTATGTGTATCATTTTCAAAAATATACACATAAACCACGAAGAACACTCAATGAATAAAAAACTGATATTGAAAATCTCAGAAAATTTTACACATACCTACTGAAATATGACAAAGAGAATAAAAGATCTAGTAGTATTCAGAATATTTCCAGTTAACATTGTCAATCAAATTTTGATTATCTTTCATAATTTCATGTTTTTTCTCAGGTTGGTAAGTTCTCCATATTTATATATTTTTACAAGATATATAACCTCATTATTGTAGTTGTTCTGACGAAGGTGTAAAATATACCAAAAGCTTGACATATAACAAATAGTTTTCTTTGTAACAGCCCAGCTATTGACTGCAACCTCACAAATATGAACCGATATATAGTTAATCCGTTTGTTATACAGGGCTATTCAAATTCGTTTCTGTACATGGGGATCTCGTAAACGATAAGAGATAGAGTGTCGGTTAAATTGTGGCAAAGTTGTGTATTTTAGAGACAAGAGACAGAACTCGGTTCTGGAAATATGCAGGAAAAATCAAAAAATTCCAGATTATTTTTTTGCCTATATCTTCTTTATTCGCAGACATATGGAAAATCAGTCCACATTTTGCTATTGGCACTTGATGTGGGCTCTCAGAATATATCCATGAATCTTTTATACAGGGTGTCATCTGACTTGAGTTGACTGAGTTGAATAAAAACATAATAGCAACATGACGGGTGAGTCATGCTCACTGTTACCGGCGATGAAGATATCCATGTAAAAAAATTGAATGTTATGAACCCAAAAAACGATAAACAATCATTTATGGTGGGTGTTCGACCTCATCTGCAAGAAAAAATCTATGACGCGGTTTTCTGGCCAAGGAAAACTGTTTTTGAAGGTTTCGACTTCCAGAGAGGGCGACGATTTTTGAGTGAAGACAAGAATTGTGATGAGGATAGAGCAGATTCTTCTTTTTTAGACTAGATCATACAATTCCCTATCATTGTGATAACAACTTTGATATTAATATTTTCCATGTAAACGTTCAGTGTTTGAATAACAAATTACTAGAAGTGGAAATTATTATCCATAGCCATAATATTGAAATAGTCTGCATTTGCGAGCATTGGTATCAAAACAATGATATCGAATGCATATCTCTTTCGAATTACAACTTAATCTCTCATTTCTCCAGATCACTCCATATTCATGGTGGATCTGCCATTTTCGCAAGAAACAGTGCAAAAGCTAGCGAGATACCCTATATCAAAAAGCTATCTTCAGAAACTCATATAGAACTGTATGAGGTTGATTACATAATCGGGGATTGTCATATTGCAATAATAAACGTTTATAGACCAGGATCAGGGGAACTAAGGATATTTGAAGAAAATTTGTTCTCAGCATTAAATTCAGTAAGTAAAAAATTCAATTACATCATCTTAACTGGAGATTTCAATATTCATTACAATAAAATAAATACCCACGAGTTGAAGACTTTGAATAATATCTTGGAATCTTTTCAACTAAAGGTAACAACAGATAAACCTACTCGTGTATTCACAAACTTGAACGGAAAAACTTCCAGCAGCGCTATTGACTATGTCATCACAAATATGTGTAACATTTGTGAAAAATAACTTTGCTGAATTCAACATATTGGGAAGAAATAATAATTACTCTTCAAGAAAATTTATTCTTGATATACCAAAGCATAGGACAGCAACCTTCAAAAAATCAACTCTCTATAACTGTATATCAATCTACAACAAGCTGCCAAAGTTTCTTAAAGACATTAGCAGCTATGACAATTTCAAGAACAAAACGAAGAAATATCTTTTAGGAAACTGCTTCTGTACTATGAAAGAATTTTTCGAGCACTGAATGTTTACAAGTGGTTTCTGTTAGCAAATATTTATGTACAGATATATGTTTATATATTCCTTTGTGAAGCTATTTGTTGTTATAAGTTTGTAATTGTTATTCCTGACATCTCTATATTTTATATAAGTATATATTTTACTCATTTATGTTAGTATACCTATTCTGTGACCTGCCATTTGTACCGAGTGTATTCAATATGGTTAATAAATACTACTACTACAACTTTCACGTCTCCCTATGTATCGTAGAGTTTTTCGAGAGTTTTTTTTCATTTTTAGTTACCTATTCATATTTTATTAAAAATTCAAAGATGAGGGTGGTCCAAGTCAGATGACACCCTGTATAAAAGATTCATGGATATATTCTGAGAGCCCACATCGAGTGCCAGTAGCAAAATGTGGACAGATTTTCAATATGTCTGCGAATAAAGAAGATATAGGCAAAAAAATAATTTGGGATTTTTTGGCTTTTCCTACATATCTCCAGAACCAAAAGAGCTATATTCGATTTCTTTACATCATTGAAGTTGTCTCTAAAATACACAATTTTGGCACAATTTAACCGACACTCTATCTCTTATCGTTTACGAGATTCCCATGTACAGAAACGAATTTGAATAGCCCTGTATATATAGGTGAACTGTATTTCATACTTTTATAATTCGCCATAATCAAGTATCATTTTATAAAGAAGACAAAAAATCTTACTATTTTTCTGTTTTGAAAATTTTAAAATGTCTCACCAATTAAGCTGCAATGATTCTATGACAACACACATCAAACACTTTTTTTATCTCACTTGTCTAACTTCCGGAATGGGAGGTACACGTCTATCGTGGCCATTGGTTACTGCTGGTTGAGATGTACTACTAGGCATTGGCCCACTAGTGCTTCGACCCATGGAAGACTGGTGTTGCTGCCTTGCGTTAGGATTTAGGATATAGTCAGTAAGTGTGACATCTGAGTTACCACCACTTTCTAGAGGAATAGGCTGGGACCGAAAGTGCTCCAACATCTCGTAGATGGATTGGAACCAAAAATGCTGAACCCTGCATTGACCTTGTTCATTTATTGTCATTCGCAGATGTTTCGCTCGCCCCTATGAATATAATTAGACAAATATAATCTATTTGTTGTACATAGAAAATAATAATATTAGCTGAATCTTTCACAAATATTAAGCAAAATATGTCAATAAACTATGTATTGTTAATGTGTGCGCTCACACCGTCACGAAAAACCGACACCCCGACGTGAGCATCGTCTTTTTTAATTTATATGGCCGTTGCTCTTTTAGTCAAGCGCATTTGACCAGACTCCTCCTGTCCATAGTGAATAGAAGCTTCGTCCAGGAGCTCAGCTGTCTTGCTCGAGGCAATGCTGCCACCCTAAGTTTTCTCATTAAATGTTTCTTTTTTTTACCAGGGGGCTGCCAGTCCCCTCAATATGACTTTCACAAATAACACATCTATTATCGCACTGACGACCTCGTCGAATACGTCGACATCCAGTCTGGTTACTGGCGTAGGGGGCCGCCAGTCCTCTCAAAATGTCTTTCACTTCAATATTTATTCGAACTTGACTTTATTTTTCAGAAAACACCTCACTTTAGGACTCCACTACAACCACGACATCCATGTGCCATCGTTGAGGACGGTTATTATTGGCATAACATATGTTTGCGTGTGAACTGGCAACTGTGTTCACGATATTTATTCAAGCGTTTTTGAACCTAGAACACGTGTTCTAGGTTCAAAAACAAACAAAACAAACAAAAAAAGGTATACATAAATATATATTTTTTCATCATGTTGTATGATATTTAGTAACAATTTATTGATTTAAAGATAATTTACTGTGATTATAAGTCACCCAACTAAATTTCTTAGATAAATCATTTATTACACACTATGAATCTGCCATTTGGTTTTTCCAATATTGCTAGTTTCTTAAAAAAATCAATTAATAAAAAGTGATTTTAGATGGATATGTCTAATAATCAATGAACATTTTTGATATACATATTATTTTTGGAAAAAGACCATTGTATGACTTGCAGTTTAGTAACCTGTGTATCAGAAAATATCATAAGTGTTTCAATATGCTCAGATGTAGTAGATATATTTTGGCAGTTGGTTTAGATCAGAGGTTCTCAAACTTATTTTCGCAATCATTATTTTAATAATTAAATTATGTGTCATGTAAAAATAAGACTTTCTGATGAAGGTAATGTAAATCACAATTTCGTAATGTTAGGAACACTTTTATTCATGTTATTAAAACAAACATTGCAATTTGAATAATTTAACAAGTTTGTTAATTTATGATGCACTGTTTGGAACCTTTGGTGTAGTAATGAATATTACTGAAGTTCTTTCCCAACACCAAATCGTTACTTGGAGATCGAAACACGTATCGAGGTGTTAAAAATAACGATTTGGTGTTGGGAAAGAACTCCAGTAATATTCAAGTATGTTAATATCAGGCTCGAATTTACTCATAATCAGCCTTAAGTCATCTGCAACCGATTTCTCTTGTTAGTTAGCAACGTTGCCACAGCACTAAATCCACGCTCACACAAATACGATGATAGGAATGCTATCAAAAATCGTTGAACAATGAACCACAATCCAGGGTACAATTAGATAGATAGATATTCATTTATTTCTACAGAGTATATGTAAATCTTGTATAAAAGTTAAAAGAAATACTTTATCCGAGAAATACGTCAGTGAACAAAATTACAAAAGAATAATATGATACAAAATTTGAATAAAACACGTCACATACACATATAAGTATAGAGTTGATAAAATAAAATTTAAAATAAACTGTTAAAATATTAATCTATAGTATAAGGCTCTATATTACATAAACATTCTTTCACATACTTCAGAAAACTGCTGGCCATCTCAATGTCTCTTATATCCTGTGAGAGAGAATTTAAAATGTAATCGCACTGTAGTCAGTACTTCTTTCATATAGAGATTTTTTATGTATCGGATATAAAAAATCATTCCTAAATCTTGTTCCATACTTATGTGTTTTATGATGCTTTTCAAAGTAGCTNTTTTGTATCCGTCTCTAAATTTCTGTCAAATAGTAGTTCTTGATATATTTTCTCATTTTCAATAAACCTCACGTATGACAACAACAATACTTCATTGGTTGGTAAAGTGGACTCATCTAACTGAATTGAGAATTTAGAAGTCTTCAGATGATTGCACAATGACTCTTCAATCAATACGTCTTTGCACGGAACTATTGCTCAAAGGAATTTTTCGGATAATAGCTGCCGCTGGTTTATGGAGCACAGTAGTTACTACTTCTTTCATTGTCGGTAAAATTAAATCCTTTACAATAGTGTGAGGTTTACCTGTTTGCAATTAGCAAGGAGATATTGTAGAAAGCTCGGAGTCCGTCGTCGTCTTGCTTAGAAGCCGCTTAGAAGTTTTGACACAGTTGGCTGAGCTGAGTGTTTCTTTTCCAGTTCTTGAAAATAAGTCACACTTTTGTCTTTTTTATCTGAATGCATTTTATTCAAATGATCTTGTAGCCTTGAGGGTTTCATCACTTCATTCGAAAATGTTTTTTGACAAAGAAGGCACACAGGCGAAGACGGATTTGTGGGATTATCAATAAATCCATATTTTATATATTCCGCGCTATACTGCCGTTTCTTCTTTTTTGCCGAAGTAAAGAATCGAATATTCAAAACTTGCTAATGACACCACTCACAGTATTCACCACCTCACATACAGTACTTTACCTAGCTAGTCGTTAAATAAATTCACTTGTTTTCATAATATCGTCGAATGACATTACAAGCTGGATGGCGCGCGCGCTTTTATATGAGACAGCGGGCGGGCCTAGTACTTTCGAGAATGGAGACTAGAAACTTCTCGATTTGCATTGAAGCTTACCGCCATCTATTGTACAGTTTGACAAATATCGGATAGGAAATAGTTACCATCTAGTCCCTTAGATGGCGATACATGACGAAACGCGCGTTAGGCGTAAAGGAGCGGTAAAGTTTGTGTTAAAAGCAAAAAACATTTTTAAATTAGCCATCGCCCCCCTAAACCGCTTCAACGCCTCCCAATCTTCTCTGTGCCCTTTACTGCCCCCCCCTATAGGCCTCCAGCGCCCACAAGGGGGCGTTATCGTCCGCTTTGAGAAAGACTAGTTTAGATTATAAGTCTACAGCTGACAATTTCAAGATTAGTGGTTAATTATGATGATTTAATTTTTATTTTTCAAATAATTCCATGAATAAGACAATAATTAGGAAGATAGATGGATGGCTAATTGGTAGATGTTCCAAGATATCGGTTGATAAATGTCAAGTCCTTAAACAACAATACCCAAGTTGAAATATGGCATACCTGAAAATTGAATGTGAGAACAAACTCGCCGGTTCTTGTTTCACTTTGCCTAACTAAGAATCGTCCGTGCCCAGCAGCACCATCATGTAGGACTTGCTGAGCAGCTTCAGATCTTCCCAATGTCCCATGAAACCATAGCTCTGATTTCAGTGTTTGCCCAATGTCATTTTCTAATGCTGAAATAGCAAATAATATACTGTTTGTGACTCAAGTACATAAAATATTAACTCACAACTCATAGGATCCAAGGATGAGGGACATATTTCAAAATTAGAACTGGAAGATAGTCGATCACCTCCTCTCCCTGGATGTCTTGGCGGTAAGTCGGGTGCATCGGAATGATGATGATACTCTTTCATGTGATCATGCCCTTGACCAGTGTCTGACCCCCCAGGGCCTGAACGCATGCAATATCGAATTGTTGCTAGCCATGATCTCATATCATCAGTATCATGAGCTTCTATAACAAACTCCAAATTGTTACTTGCTTTCAGAACGAAGGTGTTTTCATGGTCTGGCATTTCCAAAGCAGTTGTTTCCCTAGCTTCAGTGATGAGAGCACAGAAAACTCCACTTCGAGGCTATAGTTGAAAAAACAAAATGAGGAACATGAAACATTTCCAAATCAAGACAGTTCCTTAGTACTTTGTCATACAAAACTAAAAAATAGAAAAAGTTAATTTTGTACTGATATCACACCAACACTTCGGTCTACTGCTTCTGGGATGCTTGTGCACAAGAACTCATTCAAAATTGTTTGGATCAAGATACTTGTGTCAATCAAACTAAGTGTTTCCTATCATCCATTGTTTTGGAAAAATGGAATACTGATCTTGATGTCTTTATTTATTATAACTCATTTGCCTCATTCAAAAAACATCAAATTATACTACTATATTGCATTTGGTTGGTCATAGATGGTAAGATGTAGCAGTTTCCCTATTAAGGCCTTCAAGGAAGCCATATTGACATTTAGTGAGAAGTTCGAATTTATTCAGGAATTCCTCTGTACTTTTCTATATTTTCTGGATCAACCTTCTCATAAATAGGAATTGTTTTGAAATCTTTTAGAAATGATGGAAATTTTCCATATTCGTCAGATTTGATAAATCAGTAATATAAATTGATAAGAACTCATAAAAGTTATTTATTAGAGACATCTGTGTTAGTAGATTTTTATTTTTTCATTTAAAGTATTATATTTTTCATTTCGTTCTCGTCAAAAGATTCAAAATTTGATGCAAGGATTCTCTCCATCAAATTTGTCAAAAGTTTTATTTACTAGATTTTTTGTGAAATATTTGGCAAATAAGTTAGAGATTGGGCTTTTATCACAGACCTTCATATTATCAATTGTTAAAGATATATTTGTAGTGGTATACAGAGTTGACCTGTAATATTGAATTAATCTTTGGTTCATGAAAATGAATATAGTTCATCAGATAACGGTTTATGTACTTAATATTATTAACATATTTCTATGTTAAAAGTATTCAGTGGAGTTTGATATGATACCTTACATGGATATAAAATAAATTTTTTTGTATGTAAATATCTTAAGAACCTCTCTTGGACCTTTTCAATAAGATCAGTATCATAGTCAGTAGTAGGATTTCATATAGAGCTAGCATATTCCAAATGTGGTTTGAAGTGCATTATATTAGAGCCTAATAAGTGGATTGATCAAGCAGTTTTTAGAACCTCTTATAACAAAAATCAAGGACCTTGAACACCTTTGCATTGATAATCTGATAGTGTTTGCTAAAATTGATAAACCAGTCCATTAAAAAATAATACTGCCAGCTTCAAATTCATAAAGTGCATTGATAAATATGTTTCTGAACAATTTTTAGACTCATAGTAATCATCTCAAAATTCACAAAAAGTTCAAAGTTCTTGTTTGCTGCTAAGGTATTCTGTGAATTGACCAAATCTATTCCAAAGTAATAGCATATTTTGTATTTGTTGATTTTCCATTTCATGCACTTAATGGATCAAGTATTCTTGTTAAATAGAATCGTTAAATAGAAGGCTTTACAATCTGTGTGATTTCCAGTTATCATCTACATTTGCAAGCAGTTTGAATTATAATTAAAATAATAATATGGTGGCGTCTTGATCAACAATATGTACAAACAGTAGGTAGATCGCCCTTCTAACAATATAGTTTTACCTTTGGATTCTTAGGAGGTGAGTAGAATTCTAGCATGTACCCTCCAGTGGCTTTCACTAGTTGTAACCTACATCTTTCCCATCTAGGTGGTCCACTAGGCTGATCCAAGGTCTCAGGTGTTGAATAGTTGACAATTCCCTCCTTTCTACATTCCACTACAATCTTTGCTAATTTGGTTTTATTGTGTGCTATATCTACATCATCAGAATGTTGCTTATGGAAGAGATCTTTACTTTTTCGTAATACTTTAAAGCTGAGCCTACAATAACACATCAAAAGACTTTTTTCAGTAACTATATTGAATAACATTATACCTTCTGAAAAATGGCTTGTGGGGCATTTTTGGAGAGCCTTCTTCATTATCTTGTATTTCAGTTTCATTTCTTGTGCCAAGACCATTTGAAATTTTTGTGTTGTTCATTCTTCTCCTATTGAAGTCCATTTCAAATTGTTCAGTGAAAGACTCCATGAATTTTTTCAAGAATTCTTTGTGAGTAATAGTAGACTTAATAGACTCAGGTAAATTCATGTTCATGTACTGCATACAACTTTTCGAAAAATCTTGAGCTGCTGCTTGTGCATGTCTTTCACAAAAATCTATCCAAGCACCGTCTGTTGTGGTAGACTCGAAAGCGGTTGCCATTTTATCTATTACCAGTCAATAGTAATATCAATTGATTAATCCATTTTTATTTCATAAATTGCTTCCAAAATCTATTGTTTTCAAATACGTTTACCATTTGACGCCATATAATATTATACCATAATTGACTTGACTTATGGCATGGCTTTGACTTGACATTTTTAAATTTTGACATCTATAATTTCAAATTTCATAGAATCAAATGTCATTCACAGAACACACGTTAATAACAAGCCGAGCTTCCCAATTGCGCCTGAACAGGAAGCATCGGCCAATAAAGAAGAGAGAACAAGCCGAGTTGTTCTGTTGCACTGAGGTGTAGTAAAATTCCAGACATCACCAGAAGATGGCAAATAATCCTTTTGAGGATAAAATGGGAAAATTTTATTTTATGGGATACTCACGGATTTTCGCGAATTTTTCTGTGATGATACTACGTTATGCTAGGAATGAACCTTTTTCCTGAAGTACGAAAAATCACTCACTAGCAGCGCTAGTAGTTCGGTAGGGACAAACACTGCCTAATCCTCATATGAACATGTGGTAAAGTACAATTAAAAAATAATGTTTGTAACAGAAAAAGATATTCCTGGAGCAAAACTAAAATTTGCAACTGTAAAGGATAACAATGTTGTGACATTAAAAGGTTGGTATGCATGCCGTAATTTAAAAGTAACTGAAAAAAAAAGGAATTAATAGACAGGTTAGTATACAGACTCCAGTAAAAGAGTAGCGATAGATTCAAACTGTAATATATGAAATTAAAGAGAATTATGAATTTCAGATTTATTTCCGAGTTAAATATGAATCAAATATAGATGGTGATGAAATAAATTTAATTAAATATAATAAATGAATATGATTTAATAAATGATTGAGGTTATATCTCATTCTAATCAATGGTAATTAACGATGAAAAATTTACTATTCATTTCATGTTTACATACATATGAATATTTATTTTTGGTACTGTTAAATCCACTCTCCTCGAAGCATGTATCCATTTCTTACATCTAACACCATTAATATGAGGTTTTATAAATGGTATAAAAACACGTTTTCTTCCGGATATCGATTATCTGATGTACAATTCGCAAAACAACAATGCTTTTTTGGCATTATACTAGCACAAAATAATTTTTCATATCAGATTTATATTTTTAAATAATAAATTAATATTTCGTAAATAACACTGTTTTACATGTGAATAGTTTATGTTTGTCCCTACTACTAGTGCTGCCTCGTGACACGTTCGCTGTACTATTTTCAGGAAAAAGGTTTATTCAGAACACTTCTTATTTTCTGTCGGACTCAATTAGTTTTCGAGATATAGCCTGTAAAGTTTGTATGATGTCATATTTTACCATTTTTTCAAGCAATAAACGACTGCAATTCACATATTTTTTATTCAACACATCTTTTTCCATATCATCGCACTTTTTTCTATCCTTTTCCATTCCCCTATAGCCAAGTTTTTTAAAATTAGATTGAAATTCCATAATTTGTCACATGCTAACTTAACCTAACCTGACCCGACCTAACCTATCTCAGTGTAACCTTACTTTACAATTTTAAAAAACTATGTATCCTCAACATCTAACCTGACCTCCAAACTCTAAGAGGAACGTATTTTCGAATAGTGAAACTTAATGCAATTTATAAAAAGTGATTTGTGTGCACCTGGCAAATTATGGAATTTCATTCTAATTGCAGGAAACTCGGCAATAAGTGATTGAAAACTGATAGAAAAAGGTGCGATGATATGGATAAAGTTGTGTTAAATAGAAAAATATGTAAATTGCAATCGTTTATTGCTTAAAAAAAGGTAAAATATGACGTCATACAAACTTTGACAGGCTATATCTTAAAAACGAATTGAGTCCGACAAAAAATAAAAAGTGTTCTGAATTCCTACCATCACGTAGTATCATAACAAAAAAATTCGCGAAAATCCGAATAATAATACAAATACGAAGGTTATGGAGTGTCTGGATATAGATACAGAAGTTATTAATCTGACATAGCACTCAAGAAAGTGGCAAACCAAAGACACGTGTTTCGGGCTTTTGACAATAGCTGCCTCCGCGCTAATGAAAACTAATAAAAAGAGTACTGGTCGAGATAGCACCAAATTTGGAAACTGGGAAAATAAGCAAGAAGAAGAATTATATGGTTATATTAAATGTTTATGTTTGCGGTGGTAAATGAGATGAAAATTCAAAATGTCTAAGTCGTGGAAAGAATTGAATATTTGTTTTCACGAAGAAGTAGAAAATGGTATCAAATCATTGAATTTTCCAAAAGCTACTCCAATTCAGACATTCACCATACCACAACTGCTTAACAAAAAAGATGTTGCTGCAGAAGCTGTGACAGGTCAGTTACACATTTCACTTATATTTTACTTGATTACATTCATAACGATCATCACATCCTTAGGTTCTGGAAAGACTCTGGCGTTTTTAATACCCATTGTAGAAATTCTGAAGCGAAGAGAAGTTGAAGAAATATGGAAAAAACATCAAGTAGGAGCTCTCGTAATATCTCCAACAAGAGAATTGGCCTTGCAAACAAAATTTGTTTTAGATGCATTGTTGAAACACGTTAAAGTAAGTTTCGTTGAAAAATTGATAGTTTTGTTTTTGTAAAAGCTAAAGGATTTGCTATGCACTTCTCTTTGAGCACTTTGAAAATGTTTCTGTAATGCTTGTGAACTTTCATAAAAATATTGCTTAGACTGCCAACCAGTACCAAAATCCCTATAATAACTTCTGATATTGGGTTTGAACATCAGATATGAAAAACAGAATTGGAATTATAGGGATTGCAGTCAGCATTCTAAACAAATAGTATAGTCCAATTTACTACATTACCGTTCGCATAGGTAATATGAGTTTGAAGTTGATTAATTCCAATACTTGGAATTGTCATATGAAATGATAACAAATTTTATTCAATAACAATGCATATTAGTTCATTTGTAAATCAGAAATAGCAAAGTTTTGTATAAGTAACTTTATATACATAGGAGTTTATTAATGTCATTCTATTGCTGTTTCAAATTATGCTTTATTTTCCTCAGAATTTGACTCAAATTCTGCTGGTAGGTGGCAACAGTGTAGAAGATGATGTAAATAACTTCAAAACCAATGGCGGAAATATTATAATTTGTACTCCAGGCAGATTTGAGGATTTACTCACACACAAATATGATATCAACTTAGCAAGTTCCTTGAAAAGTTTGGTAAGTCTTTCAGAATGAAAGCCATTATTTGTTTGAACCTGTTTTAATTTTTAGGAAATCCTAATATTAGATGAAGCAGATAGACTTCTTGATTTAGGTTTCCAAAAGACTATAAATATAATACTAAGTTATTTACCGAGGCAAAGACGTACAGGATTATTTTCTGCTACACAAACAAAAGAAGTGGAAGATCTGATAAGGGCTGGTTTACGTAATCCAGTTTTGGTCAGTGTTTCTGCGAAAGCTACCCAAAGTACACCTGATTTGTTGAACAATTATTATATTGTGACAAAAAATGATGGTAAATTTCATTTAATATGATGGATGACAAGGTTTAAATTATTTTTATTTCAGGCAAATTGTGCACGATAATATCATTCTTGAAGAAAAATAAAGTGCAAAAGGCTATGTTATTTCTACCGACTTGTGCCGCTGTTGATTACTGGTCTAATGTCTTCCCTCGCATTATGCCCAGCAACTTGGATTTACCTGTTCTAGCCATACACGGTAAAATGAAAGCTAAACGTAAAAGTATAATGGAAACTTACAGAACCGCAGATAAAGCCCTATTACTGTGTACTGATATAATGGCTAGAGGAATAGACATTCCAGAAGTGAGCAATCAACCATCGAACATATTTTATTTCAGTTAAAATTGATTTCTTTTTCAGGTGGATTGGGTGCTACAGTGGGACCCACCGGTTAGTGCTAGTTCTTTTGTACATAGGGTAGGTAGAACTGCCCGTCAAGGTCAGCAAGGATCGGCACTAGTTCTCTTACTTGAAAATGAGGAAGCCTATGTACCTTTTATTGAAACCAATCAGCGTGTTAAACTCGAACCAATTGAAGACCTTGCCACAACTGAAGAGGTTTAAATATTGTTTAAATTTTAAAAAAGATTCACTTAAAAACTGATTTCCAGATTGAAGAGCTGAGGGATAAAATTAGAAATCTTCAGAGAAAAGATAGAGCTATAATGGAAAAGGGTACACAAGCCTTTGTGTCACATATCAGAGCATATTCAAAACATGAATGTTCCTTATTACTTAAAGTAAAGGTATTTGGAATTTTTGATATGTAATATTTACCAGCTAATATTTTTGAATTAATATTTCAAAATTTAGCAACCATATCAGCCTTTGAAATTTTCATCAGTTTCTGTAATAAGTTACAGCTGGCAGGGAATAGACTAGTGAGGGTGTTAATGGATATATAAATATAATGAAATATTGTTCTCAGTGGGGCTTTTTTATAGGCCTTTAAATATTGTTTGATAAAATGCTTTGTTTAACATAAATAGCTTTATATGAAGTCCCTTGAGTCACAAAATGTTACAGACAACAGCATCTAATATAAGTAAAATGGGGAAAACAAAGAATAAAAACATTTTATTTAATGAATGGAATGCTCCGTTAACATTTGCAAACCATCTTTTGATACAGGGGCACATTCAGAAAAGTATAAAACTCAAAGAATTAAAAAAAGTCTGCAGACAAAAGCAAAGAGAAGCCTGGAGAGCCTATTGTGAGGCAGTCGAAGACTTCCCACTAGCTTCTATGCTACAGAAGGCACTCTTAAATTACCACCATAAGAGTATTGCATCCTGATGAAAGAGCGCTGAGATTCTTATGGAAACTCACTTTCCAGGTTGTCTTTCCTAGAACGACGAACTGGACGGAAGTACCAACAACACCTTCACAATACGACTGGCAATCTGCTAGTGCAGTAATTGATGAGGACAAAATAAGATGGGCCATATCGGACTTTTCCCCCTTCAAGTCACCAGGACCTGACGGTATAAGACCAGCCCTACTTCAATGGGGAATGGATATTTTTATGCAGCACCTGGTTGGAATATTCAGAGCCTCCTTAGCTCTGAGGTATATTCCCAGTAAGTGGAGAGAAGTACGAGTGGTACTTATACCCAAACTAGGTAGGATGGACTACACCTTACCAAAAGCATTCCGACCAATTCACATCCTTCTTTTTAAAAACTATGGAGAGGCTATGTAAGCGGTACATAAGAGATGAAGTACTAGTTCACAACCCACTTCATCCAAATCAACATGTATATACTCCGGGAAAGTCTACTGATTCGGCCCTTCACCATGTGATTGGCAGAATCGAAAGATCATTGGACAACAAAGAATCCACCCTGGGTATATTCATTGATATCGATGGAGCTTTTGATAAAACAGCCTTTCCAACAATTACCCAGCAACGAAACTTCACGAATGTACCCCTGGTAGTAGGAGAATGGATACTCATGAAGCTCTCTAGTAGAGCAATAAGTATCAATGTAGAAGACATCACAGTGAGAGGAATGGTCATGAGGGGATGTACACAGTGAGAGGAATGGTCATGAGGGGATGTACACAGGGAGGTGTATTATCACCCCTTCTTTGGAACATAGTACTGGATACCCTGATTAATCACCTCAACAATAATGGATTTTACACAATTGAATATGCAGATGACTTAGTTATCTTGCAGACCGGCAAATTTGTGAACACATTGTGCGATAGAGAGCAGAATGGGCTCAAATTATATGTTGCAAAATGTTATCGAGCTGAATCGATTCTGAATTGTAGGTAGTTAGTCTTTTTCGTCCTTGCTGTGGTCTGCGAGCATGATCCTGTTTTGAGGAATTTTTGTAATATCTGTGAGATGGATATGTGAAGTATCTTGAATTGACATTTAATTATTTTGTAATTCTAGTTTTACTGCTTAGACACATTCATCGCGGTTTAAATTACGTGATTAACGCTCCTTAATGAACACAAATAAAAATTGTCAAGAACTTAACAGTAACTGAATTATCACATTTCTCAAACTCGTTCAGATTTGGAAATCCAAATGGTATGTTTTTTGCTTCCTTTTGAATTGTTGTAAATAAAAATTATAGTATTGAAACATAGTCAGTAAATATCGAGTTGACAATACAAAAAGCAATACAAGGGGTTGAGGCTTTCGGGCCGAGGTTTTTAGTGTCACTATTTTTCGGGTTTGAAGGCTGTAGATTTTTGGAATTCCTTCCTGACGTTTCGCTGACGCGAAGGTTTATACATACCGAGTTAATATCTCTCATGACTGTATATCACGGCTTCGTAACGCGTAATTATGTTGACTCCTCAGGTAGTTTGGTGTGCTAATAGGGTGTGCTAATAGGGAAACACAACATACAACAAATCCTTAGGTCGGCTAAAGACAATAGGGACCCAGTATCCACTTTGGGGGTTTGGAGTCACCAAAAGATCCATGGGAACAAGGCTGAAGGAGCACGAAAGAAACTACAGACTAGGCCAAATATACAAGTCAGAAGACGCACGCACGACAACACGCACACAATGAAGGAAACGACAGGATTCTGATTGGAAACACAGAACTAATTGCCCCCTACTAGAGATACCATAGCCGACTGGTACGGGAGGCAATAGAAATCCACAAACACACGGATAATTTCAACAGAAAATAAGAAGCTGTGAACCTCAATCGAATATGGAGTCCCATTCTGAGAGGTTAAAGAACAGCAAACAGCATGACGGCAGGTAGAAAAAGGTCAACGAATGTTATTGACAATTTTCCAAATCCAGGTATTATCACACCTATCTACCTGAATCAACATATAAACGCTTTACGTAATTTACCCAAATTGTGTATCTTTTTTATTATCACTGTAGTGTGCGCTGGTCAGGCCCTATCCCCCGAAGCCCCGATACATTCTGGAGGGCGCGCCAGCATTATCAACCACTCCCCACACCTTGGGGTAAGTGCTCATTGGGTCCGAGAATCTTGTGCCCTGAGCAAGCGCAGTGAGCCAAGAATGACAGCCTTCTGCAACGGTGCGGCTAAGATTTCTGCCTTAGTGCGGCAAGCCGATATGATTTCAAGATTCGAGAGTAGAGAGAGCATTATTCAACCAAGGACTCCAATAATCAGAACAACCATCTTGACAGAGTGATCTGGATAGAATCTGCGGAGTTCGAAGAGAAATCTCGATATTTTATCCGTTTTTCCTCCTCTTTTCTAACGATATTTGTCTCGCCAGGAGCTGAAAACTCCACGAAAAACGTCGTTTTGCTCTGGTGGTTGAGAAGAACTACATCAGGCTTATTAGCTTGTATGAGCCTGAGGGTGGGGAACGAATAGTTCCAATAAATTCGGCACTTCTCGTTCCCCACAGCGGATTCAATATCCCCCGGAGTGTTAATAATATTTTTGGCACTGTGTGGAAATTCAAATTGTTATTAGTTATTATATCTTGTAAGATTAGGATATTATATCCTGTAATAAAGATTACTACTACAAGCCAGGTATAGGTATAAGCACACCAAACTGAGGAGTCAACATAAATACCCGTTACGCAGCCATAATATCCAGTCATCGAAGATATTAACTCAGGATGTAAAAACCTCTGAGGAAGCTAGCCACTCGCACCAGTGAAACATCAGGAAGAAATTTCAAAAATCCATGGCCCCCAAACCCGAAAAATAGTGACACTGACATACAGGGGGCTTATAAAATATAACATTATACTAGGAATTTATTTTTATTAACACCAACAAAAAGTGATGAAATTATTCATTGGAGAAGTGTATACCAGAGAGTACTAACTGTAGTTCAATCGAGCCTGCAGAGAGCTAAAGATCCAGAATTCTTTCAAACCGGAATTGCAATGTTTATAATTTATTTCTTTATTGATTTTGTTTGGCGCTTAGTCAAAAAAATCAAACCCTGCTCTACTTTGCCAAGCTTTGGCTTCTATTGGGAAACTTCTTCAGGGCCTATAATTCAATGAGTTCTGAATTTTTTCGCCATTGAATAACATTACAATTCATACTTACAGTAAAAATTAGTGAAAAACAATTATTGAACATATAAATTGACGAAAAAGTTAAACATGTAAAGATTGCTTTTTCAGATCGTTTTTTAAATTAAAATAGATATATTTTGTTTTGGTCAAGTTTACAATCAGATTGTTCCTTTCACACCAATTTAAGAACAGTGATATTAATTCCTCTGTTTTTGATTTTAATTCCTCCTGACTCTCTACTGATTCAGCCAAAGACGTGTCATCTGCGAAAAGAGTGAGAGCATGTTCTTTACTATTTCCAAACGCCTCTTTCTTGAAATGGTTGAAATTAATAAGTCTTCTGATTGTATGAATAAGAAAACTGACATTGATAATCAATCTCACCAGCATATACAGTAACTTACTGGAACTACATCAGAAACATAATAATAATAAAAATTGTATCAATCAATAACTCTTTCTTTAGAGTCAAAAATTAAAAAATCATCATACCCATTGAGAAATGACATTTATGTGAAGGTATGACATTTGTCAAACCGACAAAAAATCCTATACATGTTTAACTTTTTCGTCAATTTATATGTTCAATAATTTTTTCACTCATTTTTACTGTAAATATGAATTGTAATGTTATTCAATGGCTAAAAAATTCACAACTCATTAAATTATAGGCCCTGAAGAAGCTTCTCAATAGAAGCAAAAGCTTGGCAAAGTAGAGCAGAGTTTGATTTTTTGACTGAGAGACCCTGCTAATCCATTTTATTGTACATTTCTCCAATCGCTAAGATTATCCACTTATGAATAAACTCATCTAATCTCTTCTAATTCATAATTTTCAAGGAGCTACCTTTGGGTGCAGTGGCAGCTACGTATGGGTTATTACAATTACCTAAAATGCCGGAAATGAAAAATAGAGATCTAAGTGACTTTCCTGAAATATCTAACTTAAACATTGACACTGTGCCTTATAAAGACAGAATCAGGGAGAAGGTTAGACTACAAAAAATGGAACAGTATAAGGAAACAGGTAAACGATTTGAGAAATAGGTTAAGTTCATTATTAATTTTTTCTTTGTTAAGGCTCATGGCCAGGATATAAACAGAAATTTATAAAAAAGTCTTCTGAACCGTGGTCTGTAGCAAAACAGAAAAAAGATGAGAGAAAAGAAAGGAAACAGAAAAGAAAACAAATAAAACAAACAAAATTGGCCAACAACGAACCATTAAAGAAAAAACGGAAAGGTAAGGCCAATAAAGTTACAACATTCATTATTTTCTAACCTGTTATTATTTAATAGGAATAAGTGAAGAAGATCTGGAGGAACTGAAACGTGATATAATGTTATTGAAGAAATTGAAGAAAAAGAAAATTTCCAATGAAGACTATGAAAAAGAAATCGGTTTACTGTAAACTCATGTAAATATATTACTTAATGAATCTAATATAAAATTGTAAAAGTATAAATGTTTTTAATATAAAACTATAAGTTAGTTAATATTTTAACTATACTGAATATGAAACATAAAATAATTATTGCCGAGAGCTTCCCCACATCCTTAAGGCTGTTAAGGCGGCGTTGAACTTATCGCACCACTGTATTCTGTCATCTTTGGTATCAGCTGACAACAGATGTCTGAAAAAAAAATAAGATGAACAATTATGAGGTCATTCAATTCAAGAACTGTATTTCAAATAATAATAATGATAGGTTTTAGGAGGTTCTAAATTAATGTTGAAGCTTAAAATTTTCAAATTTGTTTTGTCCGTTAAAATGTCATTTGTTTTTGTAGCTCCATATCTCAATAAATATTTTTTGTACTGTGCGTATATACTGATGATCAATAGTGAATTTTGTACTCTATAAAAATTAACCAGGCATTTGGCAATAATAGCGTGAATGAAGACACTGTTTGACAATGGTTTGCAAAATTTCGTTCCGGAGATTTTAGCCCACAAGATGAGTTCTGAAGAGGTCAACCTACAATAATCCAGGATGAGCATTTGAGGACCCTGGTGGAGACTAACCCATCACAAACGGGAAGTGAGATGGCGAAAGAACTGGGCGTCAGCTCCCATACGGTTTTTGATGGTTAAAAACGTACTGGAAAGGTCAAAAAGTTCGAAAATTGGTCCCCTATGATTTGAACAATCAACAGAAATTGTCACGTTGAGGTCTGTCTTTACTTTTGCGCAACCTAAATTATCCTTTTTTTGTATCAGATTGTCATGTGTGATGGAAAGTGGATCCTCGATGAGCCACCCAGGCACTTCCCAAAGGCGAAAACCACCAAAAAATGACCATGGTTGCTGTACAGTGATTCACAACAACTTTCTGCAACAGGGCCAATCCATCACAGCAGCAACAGCCGGCACTGGTCAACAGAAGAGATCCGATCTTGCACATAATTTTTATACTGACGGAATTAATTGACTTGTGTCACGTTGGCAAAAGTGCACTGATGGTGCTTATTCCCATCAAATTGAATAAGTACATATATAATGTATTTCTCAAGCTATTTTCACGAAATAAGAAATATTGAAAAATCACTGAATAGAGGACCTTCATTAAAAGTGAAAAACGATGGGGTATTCCCCTACAGAAACGAATGCAACATGAGTTATTTTTCATACACCCTGTTTATGTGAAACTAATTCTCCGCAACAGCCTCATAGTTTATCCTCAAATCAAATTTCATCACCATCACAGATAATAAAGGAAGTAAATAGACAAATGTTTAAAAATAATTGACCATATGCTTACCTGATAATAGTTTTATCTCCTTTGCATATTGTAACCAGGCTATCCTTATCCTTTGGTCTAGCTACCCTTTCTCTTTCTATAAGGAAAGTATGTAGCCTGGCACATATGTCTCTACTGACTGGGCCTACTTTTTGTGTTATACAATTTTTCAAGTCAATTGTATCTATGGGTGCCTGGAATGAAAATGACACACTTTAAGAATAATCATTTAGATGATTAGTATAATACAATGAAAAATTTAGATTGAAAGTGTGAATATAGATAATAGATGAAGTGTCAAAATGATTACCTAACTTGAATGGAACTGGCCAATACTTGAAGAAAATCCATATCGAAACATACTATAAGATTTATTTTGATAATTATTATAAAAGGTTTACAAAGCTGCAAGACGTGTCTTCCCATACAATAGCATCCTCAAGCATACACTTGAGGCTGATACGCTTTGTCAGAGGTTTATAACGTCACGAATTAGCTACATCGTCGTTCATAAAGTGGTGTTAGATTTTATACAATCACATCAAATCTGGTATTTCTGAATATTTTGAAGAAAACGGAGATGAATATTTCATTTATCAAGAGTGTGACATTTGCAGGAATAACTTCAGCAAAGAATCCTGCACTGACAGCTGTCGGATATAAAGCAACGTCCTTCGTAGTATTAGCCATCATAGGAGTAGTTGTTTTCTGATAGGCGTCAGTCCATCTACCTACAGTGTAGGTAATTTGAGACTGGTCTGAACAAATTGTTCTTTTGGATAATTTGGTTTAACAAAAACTGCAAAACACACAACTTTACTCTTATTGTCAGAAAGGTTTACGCTACAAAGTTACGTTTTATATAAGTTATACCAAAAACTATCTTCTCAATATTGTTTTATTTTTGTGTTTAACTAAATCATGTACCGACATATAAAAATACTTGTGTTTTATTACTCACCATCTTCTTTTCATCATCTGGATACTTCCAATAACTGAAAGTGTCTCCTTTCAATACAACCCACCTTCTATGCCAAGCTCCGAATCCTGCTACATCTTCAAACATCGTTAAAAATCCACGATGTTCTACAGAAACAGCTAACTCACAGCAAATACGCATTTGTACAGTGCCATCTAGAGGACTCATAGACGGGGTCTAAAAGATATACATTCCATATCTTTGCATGAAAAATTATGAAACACTTACATTATTTAAACTCCAAATTTTCTTATTCACAGCTTGAACTGAGAATACTATGTATCCCATAACAGCAAACGAAGACGTTCTTACAGCATGCGGGCCAGCAGGAGACTCTCTAATGGGCATTATCATTCGGGATTCTTGTTTTGATTTTTTTGGGGTTACTAATTTGTTACCAGACTAGAAAAATAATAAAATTTTGTACAATATTGGATATTCAATTATTCAGTAGAATTATATATATGATATTATATGCAAATACATTTATGGCAAGTTTGAATGAAACACTTTTAAAATATAATATCTGTCTTGTGATAAGATAAATTCATAGAAAATCGGTATTTCATCCTATACAAAAAGAAAATTCAAATACAATGTAAATGATCACATCAATAAAATCCCCTTTCGAGTGGTGAATTATGTGAAAAAAAATATTTGTCGTTATTGACATCAAATCCCAACTGGCAGCTATCAATTTAAAAATGTTTCATGGGAATGGTCACCTAATACCACAAAATTTAAAAAAATACATTGTAATTCTTATGACTAACAACCTACGGAAAATCCAGGTGATCAGGTTTGCTGCTGAAAAATAATATAAGAAATAAAATATTTCACCTATGAACTGGTTAGATATTGAAGACATTACTACTGAATCTCCCTTATATCTACTCAATGATAACATAAATATATAAGGTACAAACATTAATATTCCCAATAAATATCTTGAAATTCACACCTTTTTGTTTATGTGGTATTTCACTTCATGAGGGAGAAACTCTTCTTGGGCCTGGAGACAGTATACTTCAAAAGTTACAGTGAAATCACTGTAAATGTTGTTCAAAACAACATCTCCAGGTATTCTCAGATCTGTATCAGGATTTTTTGTGTTGTGAACTACAGTNAATAACAGTTTTATACAATGCCAGTTTTATTACAGGAATATAAAAGTCGAATTTCAGTTCATTTTCATCTAAGGGCATAAAAAATAAAATGTTCTTCCACTGAACCTCTAAATACCAGCCATAGGAATCTTGTTTAAATTGGAAGGGGTATATATCCAAAGATTGATTTTTTGGAAAGTAAAATTTTGGCTTTCTACTGCTCCATATTTATACAAAAAATGTATGAAATTTCCAAAGGAAGAAAGATCAATTAATTTCAAAATTGAACGGAATTAATTGCTTTCTTCCTTCCTTTGGACGTTTCCTAATTTTTTAAATAAATATGACGAAGTAAAAAAATATACCCCTATCAATTTAAACATGATTCCTATGAATAGAATTAAATACAATGAGCAAATGAATGCCATTACGTCCTGTCATCGTGACTTTAGCAGATTCAACTCATCCGTGACATAAAGTCGTCATGAATGAATTGAGTGTTTCATCTTGTAATGTTATTAAAACTGGTGCTGAAGAGGCAATAAGGTAAGATATTTATTTTGAAACATCAATGTCAGCCACTGAGGATGACAGTGTTCCACGTGAGTGATATTTCGTCTTTTTCATATACTACATTGTGTAGTAATCCTGTGAATGATACATGATTTAACGGGTTTTTAGGTCAGAAGTGAGCTGCCACAGCAGTTCCAAGAAGCATTTTCAAATTGTGTATCAAAACGTGAGGGGCCTGCGTACCAAATTAGAACCCTTTAATAAAAATGTATCGTGCCAGAACTCAGATGTCCTAGCTGTCTTTGAAACCTGGCTGAATGATTCCTTCTACGATGGTGAAATAGGAGACTCCAGGTACTGGATTATCCGCAATGACAGAAAGTATAAAGAAATGCAAGTCATAAGAGGCGGAGGTGTCATGATTCTAGCCAAAAAGAAGCATTCTCCACGGCCGATCATCAAAAGTAATAGTGTAGACTATGACTGGATAATCACCTTTGTTAAGTTTCGAGAAATCAAAATCTTAATATGTTGTGTATACATTCCCCCAAATTCAAGACAAGAAGTATACAATGAACTCATTTTATCTTTAGAAAGTGTTGATGAATTGAATAAATCAGAGATGGAGTAGTAGAAAGTCAAAAACTTTCTTTCCCAAAAATACTCCCCTCATTATGAAAAATCTTAGAGAGAGTCTTATTAACAGACTATATGCCCATGTTGAAGACATTATCTGCAGAGAACAGCACGGTTTTGTTAGTAAAAAATCAACTGTAAAAAATCTCATGGTGTTCAGCAATAACTTAGCAGTCTCGATAAATACTGGAAAACAAGTTGATGTAATCAACACAGACATAGCAAAAGCATTAGACGAAGTGAACCATGGAGTTCTCATCGCCAAATTAAGAAAATTCTCAATGAATTAATCAATGATAACATTAGTGAAGTCATATCCATCAGATAGAGATCGATTGCTTTCAATAGAAAAAGGTCGACACTATTCAGACCAACCTCTGGCGTTCCTCAGGGATCAATTCTAGGCCCACTTTTATTTATAATGTTCATTAACAATATAGGTGATTATATAAGACATTCCAAATTCCTACTCTATGCAGATGATCTCAAACTATATATATACCAAACCATCAACGATGAAAGAGACAGTGAAAACCTTCAGAAAGACTAAAGATTCTATCACTATCTTTTGTGAGACAAACAACTTGATGCTGAATGAGGGTAAATGCAAAGTTATATCTTTTTCACGGAAAAATGTTATTACTCCAACGGAATATTCAATAAATAGCACTAAACTGGAAAAACTTGTTCAAATCAAAGATCTAGGAGTCATATGTAATAGTAACTACAACTTCAGAAATCACATACAATATATTGTACATGATGTAAACAGAAAGCTTGGTTTTGTGTTAAGAAACGCCAGGGATTTCAAATTGGAACTAGGAATTCTTCTATTCAATGCCTTTGTCAGATCAAAGCTCGAATACGCTTCAACAATTTGGAATCCGTAAACAGCATTTCATTCAGATATGATAGAAAAAATACAGAAGAAATTTCTTAGGTACACATACTTAAAAAAAAATAAAGAGTCTCCCTCTATGATCTCCTATAGGACTCAACTAGACATGCCAACCCTGTCGGATCATTGAAGCTTGAATGATGTATTATTTATATTCAACATATTCAATCAGATAATAAATGTACCTGAACACAGTGTGATCAATCTTCATGTTCCTAGTGCTAGTCTAAGAAATCTCAATAAGGTTTTCTATGCAGACACCCGATCAGAGTCTCCAATCAATCGCTGCCTTAGGCAAGTGAATGATCTAGTCGTAGGTCATCAAAGTCTCGATTTTTTTTGCTGTGATGAATTAGAAATAAGACAGTCATTTAAAAAAATCGCCATATATACCTGTTTGTATTAATGTTTCTCTTGTAAGTAATTTTAGGTCTTTATTTACTCTTGTGTATTGTAAAATCATATATTTTATGTACCATGACATTTACTGTATACATAGTATCGTGTGTAAACCTGTTTGGAATGCAGCTTAAATAAAATCTATCTATCTATCTATCTTAATACCATAACGAATTTTTAGAGTACAAACTGAATAGGAAAAAATATTTTTTGTATAATTCAATGTTCATATAAATCAGATATTTCGAGAGGGCTTCCAGTTTGTGCCAGAAAGTAACTTTTATGCTTGATTTACACATCTTTGTAAATAATTTATTTTGAAATCAATAGCTTTCTTCCTTCCTTAGGAAGTTTCCCACATTTTTTAGAGAAAAAAGTAGAAGAAAGCCAAAAATTTTCTTTCATAATGATAACGGTATTTATTATAAAGGTCTACAAATATACACTGAAAAATTTGAAAGCAGAATGAAATTCATTGAACACATCTGCTTGTTCTTCCACCCAATCCAGTACACTTACCAGCTGCCAGAGCTTTAACATATTTGTGTTTCAAGGGAAGAATAATGTCAGAAATGGTTAGAGTTCCTTTCTCCAAAGGAACATTATTGGCATGCTGTCCTTGAGGCCTAATGGTTCTCTCAACTTTTAATCTCTGAAGTTCATGGATTGCAGCTTGTCTTCTGTGAGCTGAATAAAAAAAAGAAATATAAGAAACTGTATCCTTGTCATTTTTGGTAGGAAACTTAGTTGATATCATTTTTACTTTGTAGACAGCAAAATAAAACCATGTTATGATATAGAGTGCATCCTAGTTAAAACAGACCAACCTAAATAAGTCATTTTGATATCGAGACTGTAAAAAATCTTAAACATCAACCTTAGTTTTCAGGAAGGCACATTTCTATGTAAAAATCAACATCTTGTCAGCCACCCCTTCTCACATGTCAAAATTTTCAAATGAAAATAATAGTCAATTGACACCTCATTTGAAAAGCTTTTCATTTCTGTATGTATCACTGTAACATTTTCGAAGTTAAAACAATAAGTGATGTCATAAAAAATATTCAAGTGTGTATTTAATTAAGAACCAGAAAGTAAAACTTAACAAAAAATTTACATTAACAAATGTATGTGAGCACCATTAACTTGCATACAATGTTATTATGGAGAATATCAGGTGTTAGCAGTCTACAGCACTTGCAAATTTCTTCCTGTAAATTATATATAGTAGTTGGCTACATCTCATAGACTTTTGATTTCAACCATACCCTTGAGAAAATAGCTCACTTAAGACAAATCGGGAGATCTGGGTGTCTATTCTGTGGTACCTCTCCTTCCAATCCATCGACCCGGAAAGTTATTATCAATGATCTGTCACACTGCAATGAGGAGCCTCATCTTGTTGTAAAAGTACTTAACCCATTTCCCAATAGTTCATCCAACTTGATTCAGCTGTTAATGCTTGCCATTACTCAATTATTCAGCAAATTGAAATATCCTTCACCATTTAGGTTTGCTTCCAAATAGAAAGATCCTATGATTACCCAAAATTCCTGCCGAAACATTTAGATTTTGGGATTATTGGGTAGTAATTTGGCGTGCTATATTGGGGTTTGAATCAATTGGGTATCGAAAATTTTCATGATTTACTTGTTCATTCAGATAAAAGGTACATGCATTCGAGAAATGTAGTTTTATAACAAAGTTGGATTATGGTTGACGCATTCCGAGGGGATCTTACCAAATTCATTTCTGCTGTCGAAATCATCTTCATTCAATTCACGAACCATTTTCTTTCTGTTAGGGTGGAGGAAAAATTCTGAAAACGTGTATGACTTACTCCTGATATTTGGGACAACTTAGTTGTCCCAAACATGTGTTAAATTGTGTGTTCATATAAGATAACTTGGCCTAGAACTGCAACATTAACGCCTTCATTACTGACTATTCCTGAACGGTTAATGCTGTCTATTAATAACGTTACCAGTTTTCATCAATTTATGTAACTATTCCAATAAATAATTATGTTTGCAGTTTGAGGAGTGCCAGAAGTGAGAGTGAGGATGCGTATATATGTGTATATGCATGTATATGTGTATATATATAATCAACATTTAAGTTGTTTATAGGTTGATACTACAACTCCAGCTCTGCTTAGGTAGATCAGTCTTCAAAATTGTTTATTTTTCATTCATTGTTATACCATTATCAAAATATGTAATTACCTGAATAAATTTATCTTATCTTATCTAGAAAGGGCAATATTGTGAAATTAAATTTTATATAGCTTATAATTTATAAAAATTATAATTTACCTAACTATTATATAAGGATACACAAGACGCAGGTACCTGAAACAGGTATCTATGGTATAAATAGGTATAGCCTTGTAAGTATGATCAGTTTGATCTTCCTCTTGAAGATGATCACTTGGTGATCGAAACACGTGTCGAGATGTTAAAACAACGGTTTGGTGTTAGGAAAAAAACTCCAGTAATATTTAGTTGAAGTTAGTAATTTTTTTCCAAAATTTATCTTTAACAAGTCACTATTAATCCAACCGTTGATAATTTTGAAATACGAGACAGGACAAAATGAAAAAATTCTTACTTGCTACCAAAAGTACTCTTTCAGCCTCCACTTGTTCAGTTGAACCAGAAAATTCAGGAGTACAACTACACAGATTCAAAGCCTGGCTTGTTTGTGATATAATATTTTGTTGTTTGTTAACTTCTTCTTGGAGTTCTTCAATTTTTTTATTCACCACTTCACTTTCATTTTTATCAAATTTTCCAGACTCACTTTCTTCTAATATAGGCTGTCTGGATACCTGTCGCATAGGGGACTGAACCTGAAAATGACGAATAAATGTACATGAATGAAAATGCAAAGAAATAGGCATGTTTCATTTCGTACCTGGGTCTGTTGTCTTCTATAAATACTAACTGTGTGAGTCAATGGTAGAACATTATTTCCTTCCAAAACATATTCTGGTAAATCCGAAGTGGGTTGAGGAGAAATTTTAATTATTGGAGATTGGAACTGGTTTTTTGGCATCTCCTTAACACTTGGAGAGAAATTCTTGTAGTTGAAGGAGTTTGAAGGTTGAGTTGCTTTCTGTAACTAAAATTAAATTATCAGTTTCAACTTCTTTTGTTGAATTGTGAGGAATTACTTTAGGTGACACCTGCTTTACTTGCTTTGGAGGAGTAGGACCTGCACTGGTATCTTCCTCGTTGTTAAATTCTTCAAGGTAGTTGTCCATGTCATCCAAAATACTAGAAACGTCACTGGCAGTACTTTCATCGTATATCGGCTGAAATAAAAAGGATATACTCAAGTATTGTCACAGAGATAACTAGATGACAACTAAAGTTAATTAAAAAAAATGTACTTACTCTTTTTTGGGGTGTTTGATTCTTACATACTGCTTCTAATATGTCACGACCAAAACTTGTATTAGGATCATCTGATTCAGTATTTTCCTCACAGCTGTTCAACAGAGAAAAGATGTTAAAAACTTCACCATCACCACCACCAGGAATATTTTTTTCTCTTCAAAAGCATGATGTCGCCAATGATATGGAATGCTTACAGTCTGACAACAATTCTCAATTGAAAATTAGCTACTCTGTTTTCAACACATGAAAATAATTTCGGAGGTGTACTTTTTACCTAGCCAAACAATTTATAGCAATGATCTCAAAACGAAAGTATTTTCAAAATCATTTCAAGTACTAAAAGAACCACCTATTTTTAATGCTTGCATTAAAGATAGATTTAAAGATTTTTAAATTGGTATCCTAACTGTTCCATTGAAAAAATTAAGTAGTTCAGTAGGATGAATTGAAACATTGTGATTTTGTAGTCACATTCCACCTACTGTTCTGTTCATTCATTACATTAACAGGGACAATTTTGTTGTTTGTTTTGTTGTTGTTTGTTTAATGAATTCAAATTTGGAATACCTTTCTCTGCGCGTGGGTTGCCACACTGTCGACATTTTTATTAACAATAGCTCAATTCTTGGCCTAACTGAATCACAAATTTTTGTTTAAAAAAATATTTTACCTCTGACCAACCCTCTGATCCTAAAGAGTATCCCTATTATTTAATACACATCTCATACAGTTATGTAATGATTTTATTGAACGTGATTTGTTTTGAAGACAACTATCATAAGAGTACTTCTCAGTGCAAATAGCTTGTTGCACCTAAAAAATATTAATAAATTTTGCAGAGCATAATTTATACATTTTCATTATTGATACTGAACATTAAGTTTTTTTACAACTTCTGTACATTTAAACTTTCAATAGTCAAAGATTTTTTGACAAACATCGGCATACTGGCATACTTATTATATCAGTAAATTCTGAGAATATTTTGTTACAAAATTATTAACCAAATAAATCGACACACTTGTACGTCAGTGTTGTTTAAGTTTACTCTTTCTCGTCGGTTAGTCTTGCCCAAAAATGTAAGTCAAATTTATCAAGCAATTTTAGAAAGTCTGGAAAAATTTCTGGGAAAGTTGAATGTTTTCCAAATTATTGAATTGATTTACGAAAACATTCATTTCGACCAGAAAGAAACTTTCATTCACTCAGGCTTGTCCTTTGAGGACAGCTGAATCCAAAAATGCAGCCATGGTCTAGAACCACAGATAATACCTTGGTGGGTCGAAACACTGCTGTGCGGTGTTGGGCTCTGGTTTAATTCAGTAACCGTGCATTGAAAGTTGCAGTGAAACACAGAGGTCAAATGTCGTTCAGCGATTGATTTCGAAGGTTGTCCCTATTTATCTTTGATATTCGAGGATTGTCTTCTGTAGATCTCATAAATGGTGTCTTTTCAAGGGGAAATGCTACTATCTATACTCATTCAGGCTTGTCCGTTAAGGACAGTTGAGTCCAGCAACGCATTTGTGGTTTAGCCTAGCATCACTGATGAGACCTTGGCAGGCCGAAACAGCACTGTGTGGGTTTGGGTCACGAATGCTTCGTTTTTCAGCTGTGGTTTCATCTAGTTCTAGTTATCTTGTATGAAAGCTGCAGTAAAAGAGAGAGGATGAATCTCTTTCAGCGGTGACTACTGAAGCTTGGCTTTGCAATGGACTGCCTTAGGGATCCTTGTTCATATTTGATTTTTGCGGATTGAGTCTTCTGTCGATTTCATAGATGGCATCTTTGTAAAAAGAGATATCATCATCTTTACTTAAGAGGGTCGATAGGTTTAGTGGATGTTTGTTGTCAAGTTATTGGTTTTCAGGAATGAAAAGTCTTAACTCGACCGCAAAATTAACCAAACCCTTGCTATATTCCAAAGAAAAATATATTTAATAATGTACAACTATTGAAAAGAGGGAAACAAATCAAATATATTGGCAAGATCTAATTGAGCGGTGCACAGAATTTGTACTGAAAATATAGCGGTTAATTTAGAGATTGAGTTTATATTGGTTACATTCATCTTGTGAAGAGTAACTTGTCACATTTCAGTTAATGGCCACTTTGTGTTTCTACTGTTGCGAAAGTCATGTTCCAATTAGTATGTCATCTATATGTTGGAGTTTAAATCCAAATCTTCAATAATTCATTTTTCAGCTAATTCACTTTGTAAATAAAAAAGATATGTGCTTAAACAATTCATACATTATTCGATCAATGAAGATAAATACATAATTATAATTAAGATTTTTTCAGTCTCCTCAGAATATTTTTTTGTAAATACAAGAATTTCAAATTCTGGGATGTTTTCCATATCCTTGGCTTTGTAATAACCTCCTACATTAGGAGAAGAAATCAATGTTGAAATTTATGTCAAAGGATAATAGACAGTAACGAAACCTTACAACTTTTCAAAATACCAGAGAATAGGATTAAATTTATTCTGATACCTTTACAATTTGATTTGAAAATATTTAGTACTTTTTTACAGAAACATCGTAAGTGAAGGAACCTCTCACTGACACTGGCGTTTAAAAATTTCTACTTGTTGCTAACCCATCATATTAGATGGTAACTGCAAATTAATGATTTAAATCACAAAATATAGGAGGTAAAAGCTTCAGATTCACTCAAATGGTATATCTGAATAATTAAAAGTAAGCAATATTTCATTAAATTTCATTAGTTTGGACTTGCATTGCCTAATAAGATATAATATGATTTGAAATCCCTGGAAGAAACAAATAAAATCGAAAATTAAAATGAACAGTTGAAAATAACAATTAAATGAAGCAAAAAAACCATGAAATGAATTGATAATGACTGTTGATGTGCTTCAGAAAGGTGTCTAGTTCTGTATTCCTCGGGGCTTCTTCAATGGCCAGTGTCTCAAAGCACTCCATATATATGTTTGCTATAACTGGTGAAAGTGGCGATCCAATTGGCATCGCGCGTAAAGAATTCGTCCTTCAGTTGGATGTAGCAGTTCCCGACACAGCATACTAGTAATTCCATGATTACTCCTATGGATCCTCGTCTTCGAATAGCTTCCTCTGTTTGATTTGAAGTGCTTCTTTGACAGGAACGTTGGTGTAAAGGCTTTCTACGTCGAAACTGATTAATTGATCTTGCTCTGTGACTTCGATTGCCCCTAGTAATTCGACAAAATTCCTTGAATTTTTCACAAAAGATGAAGTTTTTTCTTGTAGTGGTGGTATTATTGGAAGTGAAAATCTGGACCAGTTTTGAATAGCTAAATAGCTAATAATCGGCATGAGCAGAACACCCTTGATTTTCAATTTTATTTGGTCTTTCGTGGATTTCAAATCATATTATTATATCATATTAGACAATGGAAGTCCGAACTAATGAAATTCATCATGAAACATTGTCACCCACTTTCAAACATTTTATTAAATGTTTTACAGTTTCGGCTTCTAATATGTATAAATTAATTTTAATTGAAAGGGTAGGGTGAAAACAATACTTCACAATTTACACAACAATAACACTGTGTCATCTTCTGAGCGAGTTATAAACTCGCTCAGTGTTGTGTAAATTGTGAAGTATTATTTTCACCCTACCCATTCGATTAAAATAATTCATTATTCATTTTTATTGTCTGCACGATACCGGGTACTTATAATCTGAGAAAAAATTTATAGAAAAATTAAAATTTGTGATCTAATTTGCATAAACTATCGTTTTTACTGCTGGTTTTCGACTGTAAGCAACCATTTGAAAGGATAATAGCAAAACTGGTTTGAGTTGCATCACAAAAGTATTTATTAACAATATTCATAGCATACAGAAGAGTTGTTTAGGGTAATAGTACTACTTCATATATGCTACAACACTCATGCTTTATTAACCATAATACCTGAACTACCCGTTTCTAATGTTTATACTATTGAAGTGTCTGTCTTATTCAGTTTCTAATACTTTTTATATGTCATTAATATTTTCTGACCTAATTTTTATTTGATTTTTGAAAAATATTCAACATATCAGTGAAGAACTTTTTTCCTTTTCTAGTAAATATCAAAATAAAAACATAAAAATGTGTAGACCATTCGCAGATACTTGATGATTTAATGGAACTGGCAGAGACTTGATGAAAATCCGTATCAAAACTTACTAGGATTTATTTTGATTTTCACTATGAGATTTTCAAAACCATGACACATGTTTCGTCATACTATAGCTTCCTTAAGCAGGATTGATTTAATCAGGGAAGCTATATCGGAACACCTGTTAAAGTGAAAATCAAAATAGATCTCATCAGTAAGAATATGACAACTAACCAGTAATTAATAAAAATCCATTATAACGTATTCAAAAAACACACTTTATTGTGATATTTCCACTTGTAAGTTTACAAAACCGCGACACGTGTCGCATCTTCTGACCTCTTTTTATTTTAAGGTCAAAACACAGCACTACAGGAAAATCCTTAGGACGCTCACTACAATCCAACGTGAATCACTACAAAAGTAGTGATTCACGTTGGATTTAAATCGCTGGAGATTAAACCCTTTTGAAAAAACGTTCTCAGGAAGTTTATTCCACACAAATGCTGTTCTCCAAATGTAAGTTCTTAAACAGTGAAGTTCGAGCTGTATTTGAGTCGAATTTTCCATGAAAGTAACTATAGAATAGAGACAAATCTCCAACCTTTCTTCGATATTCCAAACTATCAAGGTTGCAAGTATTGTTCGCGTCTCCAATCAGACGGATGGCTCTTTTCTGGATGGAATCCAGCAGTTGTAGGGTATGTTTGGGAGCACAGCTCCATACACGAGAACAATACTCCAAAGAAGATCTGATCTGAGTTTTATAAAGCATCAAAAGTTGCTAAGGTGCGTACAGTTTTCTGGTTCAGAACAGTGATTCAAACTTTTGAGAAACAGCCTTTGCAATTCCAGCGACATGATTGTGCCAAGACATATTGTTGTCCATTTTAACCTCCAACAAACTTATCAAAGCAGAAAGTGGAATTGTCTGACCTGACATTATGATATCCAGTTCAGAGACATTTATCGTTTTGGAGAAAACCGATGCCTGGGTTTTTGTGGCTTTGAATTGAACCTGGTTACTTTCACCCCAATTCGAAATTACTTCTAGATCCTCATTAAGATGTTCAACCTCTCGCTGCCAGTGAAGAGGTGCCTCCGTAGCCGATGTCCTGGAATCCAAATGTACTGACGAGATAAGTGTGCTGTCGTCAGCAAAGCAATATACTGGATTCTTGTTTTTTTCCAATAAGTCGTTGATATACAAAAAAAAGAGGAATGGAGACAATATGGATCCCTGGGGAACACCAGCGTTGATGGTGAAAATATTCGAGAGATATCCATCGACGGCCACTTACAGGGAACGTTCTTTCAGGAAGATTAAGAGTCATACACAAAAATGATCCGACGAGCCATATCATCAAAGTTTGGCCAGCAAATCCTCATGCCACACACGGTAAATGCCTTGGAAATATCAAGCGCAACAGCTCTTGATTCTCTATGTTTCTCGATTGCATTATTCCAAATAAAACCCCTCTCTTGTAAGACAGGTTGAAAAGTCTGCAAAATACTGGTGCGAGTTCATTTGCGCACTTTTTAAGTACGATGACTGGCACTTCATCAGGACCAGACGCCTTGTTGGAATTGAGCTGTTTCAAAATTAGCCTGACTAGACACTGTCAATACGATAGAAGATACTATCGAATAGCAAAAGACGTATCGCAGTTTTGTGAACTTTCAAGTGGAAATCTCACATTGAAGTGTTTTTTGGATACCTCATCAGTAAGTTTTAATATTTGATGAGTGACTTGTTTGGCGATATTTAGGAGTATATGTGGAATGTGTATGTATCCAGTGCAGATCATTGAATGGCTGGGGCTGAAAATTGTATGTGCACCAAAAACACTCAGTCGTGTGTTTTGAGAAAAAGATTAGAATTACTCAGTCACCATCGAACATTTTTAGAATAATATTTCCATGAGTATGCTTTCAAATTATTTTTAAGAATGTATATTTGTTGGCACCTGTATAGTCAATGAAGTAATGGTTTTATTTGAACATTTTACATTTTTGTTTTTGTAAAGAGATTTATCTGTAAATGACCTACAATTTTTCAGAGGAGATTTGAATATCTTCCCTTTCTCTCTTTTTGGAAGTTTCTTGTCCTATGTTGTTAAATGCAAGTTGATGCCAAAAACATCTTCAAAACAGAAATCATTAAACATACATACATTCTTTTAAATTTATGTCAGTTTTATTAGCTACAAATGCCATCTAATTACTCAGTTCTACCATTACCTTGTATAAAAAGTGATTTGGATTTGATGAATGGAATTGCGTAAAGCATGCAGGTGTGATGAAATGAAATGAAATAGGAGAACTGTTGACTTTTTTATTTGATAGTTTATCAATGATAAAAAGATGATTGAGAACGAATATAAATTAAAAATCTTCAACAATTGTAAAGATACTTAGTCTACACCTATTTAATGCTTCCTCTAGTTTCAAAACTTATGAAGTAACTTGTGTTATGGTGAGGAATAATATTTGAAACTAGATTAAGCAAAATTACCAAAATACTTCTACTATGAATCAGTCTAGGCTACTTTTTTATTAAAATTATAGGTTATATAGTTGAAGGTATTATTTTCCCACTGAGATGAAAACTTTCTAAACCTTTAAATAATATATCTATATTTAAAAAATCACATAGGAAGGAACTTTAGGACTCCTCATGTAATGAATGAGAACACTATAAAGCAAAAGCAAATGATAATATAAGGAAGGCTTATTGTAAGCGAGACAGCACATTTCTTATTTCAAGATGATACCATTTGTCGAACTCATATTCTCAGACAATATAATTAAAAATAGCTATCTATGCCTGGAGAATATTCAATTTGAGAATCATGAAGTTTCATTAGAAGAAATGTATTGTTTATTTCACTGGCTATTGCTGGGGAAATATATGGTCATGCTAAGCAAAGAAAAAATAATATCCAGTTAGTAACTGTATCGCACCTGGTATTATCGTCGGGTGAATTACTTCTAAAGTTGGCATCTGTTTCAGTTTCAGTGCTTGCCTCAATGTCAGATAAATTGGGATATAATCTTGCTGGTTTTGGAGGTGATATCCTGATTCTTTTATAATCATCCAAAACAGCAACTACTTTAGGACTATCTTCCTTACCTGAAATGATTGAAAAGTGAAAACGAGGTATTCATATTTTTCAATTGGATTACTGTAAGGCTTTCCACTACTTTTCCTTTTATCTCCTGATCTTCTGCCATTATTGGAATTGACAACTACTGAAGGCTTTTCAATAATCATAGCAGTTGTTTCTGTTATTTCTTCATCTGGTTCTTCTCTGATTTCATTTGCTACCTGAAATCAAATCATACAATGAAACAGAGCGACTTTAATTCAATTTCCAAAATTAACCTCTTTCCTGGCATCAAAACGGTTGAGAAGCATATTCATCTCTTTTTGGCGTTCTGACCTAATACTCTTTTCGATCTGCTCCTGGGAAATAGTGGACTTATTTTCCAGTAAAGCTGCCATTTTACTGGCTATTCCTCCTGCTTGGTGAACAACTGCAATGGTGGGAGAATTCCTTTTAGTAGGCGCTTTTGGTGATGGCTTTCTAACAGTTTTTGGTGGACTCTGTTCAATACGTTTTGGTGATTCTGTCTTAATACATGATTCTCCAAGAGAGGGTAGCCAATTGTTATCTGAAGTAATCTTTGAATTTGTAGGATTTGTCTTTGCTTCAATCTTCCAGGGATGAGACATGCCAAATGCTGCTTTTGGTAACAATGCCTCTCCCCTGTTCTTTTCAAATAAGGCTTTTCGTTCCGATACAGATAGTAGAGCAGGATCTTTTACACTTTTAGTAGGACTAGATTCAAAGGCTGCTGCTCTATTAGCAATGTTACCAGATCTCAAGTTGATTTTTGGTGAAAATTTCATTGGTTTATCATCTGCACTGTCTTTACCATTGTTTGTTACTTTATTGACTTTACTTATTTTTGATGGACACAAATTTTCGGAATTTTCAATATTGTTTTTATCAGTATTTTTTACTGATGCACTCTGTACTGAATTTGTGTCATTCTCAGTTATCTCATCTTCTTCGTGGATCAAATTCGAATGTTCCTTTTCAACGGACATTTTCTGTGCCGTCTTAACTTCAATATTTTGGTTTGGTGAATTATAGGCATAAACTAACCGAGAACAGGAATCAGTTCTAGAAAAACCTTGTGATTCCTGCAACAGAAATAATTAGTTGAATTTTCAGAAAAACAGCTAACTTCTATGAAATAGCGGAAGATATTTCACAGAGTTCACAAAGATGCAAAAAACTTCACCCAAATGCACATACATCATTAAAACATTTTTTTTGGAAAAAAAGCGTTTTGGATTTCTACTTCCTCATCGTCAATTTAAACGAGATTGTTAAAATTACTTGTATATATGATGGAATTGGCCAATACTTGATGGAAATACATAAATAACGTATTCAAAAAACACTTTATTGTGAGATTTTCACTAAAGAGTTTTACGAAAACGCAACACGTGTTTCGCTATACAATGACTTCTTCAGACGTGTCTTTACATAGCGAAACACATGTTGTGTTTTTATAAAACTGCTTAGTGAAAATCTCACAATAAAATGTTTTTTGAATACATTTTTTACCATGTATTTATACCATGTTCACACAATAAAACCCAAACATGCAAAGTCACTTGATTATGAGGCTGTGTGAAACTTTAAAAATTTTTCAGATTGTGGAAGGTAACAATTACCCAAAAAAAAGGTCGATAAAAAACTGATTTTTTCCTCCACAAAAAATGACTTTCGTTGAATATATGTTATCATTACACAAAATGTTTAATTTTATAGATCAGTTAAAACTGTTGAAATCTGAGATGACAGAATACCCAAAGTTCAGAAGAAACAAGTCGGTAATGAAATAATATTAATCCCTGTATTGTTCTTGAATGTGATATATTTTTCCTCGATTAATTATCCCAATGAATTTGTCATAACTTCGTTTTTGAAAACTCGTTTCATCATTAGCGAATTTTATAATGCGAAACTTGTGTTTTCAATAGATTGATTTTACATCAAAGGTTCATGTTGAATGATAATAATTTGTCCTTGAGAAATAAAAAGCGTCAATTATGTGACCTACTCTTGTTGTTGATCTCATAACTCACAGCTGACCAGATTCATAATTCATTATTGTGTTTCAATTATTTAATTATTTTCAAACGCAAGTAAGCCTGCCTTGATAATTTACCTACTTCAAAATATGTTCTCAAACGTCTAAATCAACTGAGGACGCGTTTCGCTACACAGTAACTTCCTCAGTCAAACTGGTACATTGAACTATTTTACAATGCATTTTATAGAAGTAGTTAATGAAATTCAAGTGATCCACTTCCATACTGATACATTTCAAAATATAATTCCACAGGTAGGTCCACTGCAACCCGCAAGTAATTTTTCAGGTCCACTTGCGAGAGAATGTCCATGCCAAACTCTGAAAATCTGATTTGATCAGCGGCGGGCGGTGCATGGGTTAGTACTACCAGGGGCTGAATTTCCTAGTGACAGGTTGTCAGAAATTTTCCTTAACCTTGTGAGAACCTGATTGGCGGTCAGTCTACGGTCTTAGTCAGATAGATAAGCAAGATAAATGTGTGACTTGGGAAGTAGGTCTCCTGCGAAGCATTTCAGGGAGACGAACTCCCATGGCTGCAGTGTATTGACTGCACCCATCAGCTATAAGATGCTCTTTTGATCCTCTCTGGTAGTCTGGAATTTGCAGTTCTGAAATCGAATCTTATTGAGGTTGTCGGATGTTTAAGATGCAAAATTTCCACCTTGCCATATGAGGGCATCTGTACGACAGCTATTCCTGTCGATACATAAAAAATGAGAAATAAAACTTTCTATGTTTTTTTATCACTTGTATTTATAACTAATACTGCAGTTTCGTCCCATAAAGACATTCTCAAACTAACACAATTATTGTTTTATTTTCATTTTAGGAGATCATCATTTTTCATGATGATCTCCTACCACGTAGTAACGGTTACATCCATCAATTTCCTGTCAAAACATTTGATTCAGCGCTGCAGGACTTTTCACCACTATTTATCCCTTCAGACAGTTGAAATTTTTCATTGAAAAATCAACCATGGGCAGGTACTGGTATTCTGTGAAAATATGTTAATGCTAAATTTTTTTCATTAGTCAAATTTTCAAAGCTAGGAGAACTAGAAATACTTTAGACATCACCTTCATAATTTCATGTTGCTATAAAAATTATTTCATTGAAGTACCTAATCCAAAAATTAGAAAAAGGTTCGTTTTATAAATTTCATTTGGAAATATATATGGATGGAAACGGGTCTTCATCAATTTGATTTGATAATAATCCTCTAGGCAATTATTACCAAATCAAGTAATTATTAGAGTTTGGCATTGTTAAATTCAGGTTCTGCATTTAATAGATATCTGAATCGAAATTATATTTCGAAGGTCACTGGTCAGCACGTTCTGGCATTTCCGAGATAGTTAGTATGCTATCTTCAAACAAGTAGATTCAAAGATTTTGTACTATTTTTTTAAACTACTTTAGCGTCCAATGAACCCAGAACTCTTTTATGGAGATGGAATCCGCAGCTGCAGAAATCACTACTTCTGCAGCTACATAGCAATAAAAAAATGCATGGATATTTCTTTAACATCAGTCTCTTGCCTTCCTTATGTACGTGGACTGGAACAAAAAACCGTCGGCTATACTTACGAGTATAAGATCAGTATTTATCTTCAGAAAAAAAACACTTATTTTCAACTTCCTACCAGCACTATTTCGGATAGTTTTATAGATACACTTCAATCTGTTTAAAATCTTGAATACTTTTTGAATTTTTGACACTGGTGGAAAGAAATCATTTCCGTCAAAATGACAATATGAAAAAACATTCAACAATATTTTTGAATCTAGTAACTTCAATCCCAGCAATAGGAAATGCTTTGATAAAAAAATATTTTTGGAAAAGATTAGTTTTTGGAAAATCAATATATCCAAAACAGTGTTGATGAGGAGATAAAATTGAAAACTATCTTTTCTTGAGATTGAGACCTGAAATTCAATATCTGTTGAGTTTTATTTATTATATTTCATTTTTAAATGCCATAGAAAATAGTAGAATTTGTTTCATGTCAGATATTGAGTTTATTGAAGTTGACAAAACGATTTTTATTAAAGGAAAGCTGTAGTAGCAATAACATGTGATTCTGACTAGCAAATGTGAACCAAAATATGACTGGGACAAGTGGCAGACCTCGAGCTAATATTAAGAAGTTTATCGGCAGGCTACATATGGCCCCAAGGATTGGGAAGAACATTAAAAACACCTATAAACCAGAGCAGAGTTTGTGCAACTAACTCTACTGGAAAAACCTGTGAAGATACTGCTTCACAAATAAGTTTGAAGCAGACTCAGGTGAATATCAATGAGCAAAGAAGAAAATTGAAAATTTTCAATTGAGAAGATAAGACAGAAACTCGAATAACAGCAACATGGACCAGAAAACTTCTGAATATCGAGCATGAATTACAAGAAGCAAAAATACTAGCTCAAAAAAATTGCGACACCTAAAATAATACACAAATACAGAACGAAAATACTGAAAGTAATAACTGATTTGATAACCTTGATAATGTTGGTTATTCCAATATGAAAACTGCTCAATTAGAAGAGAAAAATGACCAACTGTTATGTGATATCATTTCAAATGTGAAGTGGTCATATAAATGAATTACAGTATGAGAAATTTCTAACGAGACAAACTGTTTGGTAACAATGAAGAAAACATTATAGTAATATTGAGAAAATGTCAAAAAAAAATTAAGCAAAATATGAATGCAGTTTCCGAAATGATTACAGAAATAACTAAAGTAAAATGAAGTTCAAAATTTGACGCTTTCGGACCCTCTTCCGTGAGCAATTTAAATAAATAGAATAGTCTGGTTACAATGAAGAAAACATAGTGAAATTGTGAAAATCTGTGGAAGGTGACGCAAAACGAGCAGTTTCCAGAATTATGATAAGACAAACTAACTTAAAATGATAATGACATAATTTGGAACATTGGACACATGTCGAATCCTAAATTGCAGTGTGACCGAACAAACAAATTACCAGATTCATTGTGATTGAGGCAGTGAGAGGTAGTTTTCGAAAAAAAAGTTTCAAGAACATTGAAGGACTTTTCAAAACCAACACTCATTATGTAAGGCAATGATTCATATAGATAGGTATGAAAAAGAGCATAACTGTTACCATCATCTCCTTATGATGGTAACAAAAAGCGCGTTGAGAGGCAGCATTTTTTTCTGGTGAAGGAAAAGTGTTTTCAATAGATTCATTTCACGTCAGAGGCTCCAAATTCTAATTATCAACAAATAAAATGTTAATTGAAATATTTCTGAAAAAATTAATCATTTCCCAGATATTCTGAGTGGCTGTGACTAATGAAAAGGACTGAAGGATGACAAGATTTATGGAAAACCCAGAAAAGGTGAAAAAAGAAACTGTTCTTCAACCCGCAAGTTTGTCAGTAGCCAAAATGCAACAAGCAGAAAAAATGTGGCTGAAGAGTCCAAAGAAAAGACTTCAGGCAAGGAATTTTAAAAGACTGTATTTAGTTGAGAAGACTATCAGTACGCAAATACTGGTTGAAGCAGTTGTTAAGAATAAATTAAAAAAATCCACTTCAAGGGGGGGATGTGAGTTTTAATATTTTTCAATGTTAAGCTATAGAAAATAGTTGAGATGGTATGATATCAGATTTTGACAATTGATTAAATGTTGACAAAAAGGGAAGTTACTCGATTTTTATTGAAAGAAAGCTATAGAAGCAATTACAATATCAATACTCTTTCATTTATAATGTTGAAAACCATTTCCAGAGATTTGTTTCGATATCTATGACTTTTATTATCAGTGTACAAAGCGTGAAAGAAAGGAATGGATTCAGATGAGTTTTTACCACCAATTTTGATTTTAAGAAAACAATTGAGTATGACCTGAACAATTTTAGACTTGAAACGTTACAAAAACGAAACCCCAAATTTTCCCCTACTCGCTAATAAAAGTACATCCAACTCCAACCAGAGCTCAGCTTGTACAGTCAAGTTGAATTTTTTTGCGCCAAAATATAAATACACGAATGTCCAATTCATCCATAACCCACTTACCAATGTATCCAGGACTTTTGGATCCCACTTCAGTTTTTTGGGAATAGCTTCAGCTACATGAATGGTACCATTGTTGTCAATATTTTGTCTTGAATTTGTTTTTTTTGTTTCCTCTGTTTTATTTATAATTAAACAATTATCTGTTTTGATAGGTGGGGGAGGTTGTGGAGCAGGAGGTTTCCAAGTTTTTTTGGGAGATGCACTTTTATTTTTAACTTTATGAACCTTAAAAAAAGTAATATATAGTTCTCTGTAAAATAATTTCACTGTAACTTACAGGACTGATCTCGTCCTCCCACTGATTTATTGTCTCTGCTAAACTGGCCAACTTACTCAGTCCCTTTCTGAATTTTCGGGGCTTGTTTTTACTCTCTTCATCTTCCCCAAGATTTGAGTCTTCAGTAACACTGAACTTAGCTTCTGTTTTATGAATAGGGGAAGATATATCTATTTCATCTCCACCTATAATGCACATACACATTCTTAAATTTTCAAAAATTCGACTGATGTAGAATGCAAGTCTATAATAAACACTTGTTGGTGCTATTAACATCTTTAAAGCAAATAAAGCTGACTCATATAAATGACAAGCCCTACCAGAATGGCATCCTGGTCCGAGAGATAAAATATAGCAAACAGGCTCCATTTCTAGACCTAGATGGTATGTGAGTAGATCAATAGTCTTTAGAGTTTACAAGATAAACTATCTTAAAACGTTGAAGTAATGAAGCAAAATGTCATTATAAAATTGGATATAAGCTTGTCAATTTAATATTTATAAGTTGGTGTGTTGTAAGGTTATGTTATTTGAAAGAAGACCTATATAAAGTGAAATAATTTGGAGAAAAATCACAATAGAACTTCAATATAACATGCCATGTTTTCAACACAGTAGTCAAATAAAAAAAAAGAGTAACTGGGTTAGTCTAGAAACCAAACTAATATTGAAATGAATTCGAAAGATCTCAGACTAAGTTTCAACAGAAATTCTACATGGTCATTCGGTGCACATCGAGAGTTTTCAAGGCATCAACTTGAATGCTGCTTAATACAGTCAAGGTATTAGAAACTGAAAAAAATATTTAGAATGTAGGATCCTCTGAAAAAATATTACAAAACAAATAAGGTACAGCAACTAAAAATATAAAAATTAATACATGTTTAGGTTTGAAAAGAAAATATATTTATTCTCCTACAAAAATGAATGGAAAGTGTTCTACACAGTCAATACCTGAATACAGCTTTCCTAAACGCTTCAGTTTACTTTTTGATTCATCTCTCAATCCACTTTCACTTTTATGGTCAGCATTATCTATTGTATCTCCCGCTTCAGCTATTTCAACTTCCACTCTAACATTTTCTGTTGAGGAAACTTTTATTTCCATATTGAAGTTATCCTGTTGTATATTTAATGTCTTTAGTTGGCTCCTAGGGGAACCCGGCATGTCAGATGATACTCTAGTTTTCGAATTTTGTCTTGAAAACCTTGTAGAGTTATTTTCAGATTGGCTTTCCCTTAGTGGGGAATCATAACTTCTAAGGTGATTCGATTCTGACAAAGATTCTTTGTGAACCTGGGGAATTTCTAACACCTTACTTTGTGATATGTTTGAGGAAATTTCAATTGATGGCACTTTTTCAGCACCTGTAAACCCTTCAAGCATTTTCTGCCTTTCCCTAGCTCTTACGAGAATGTTCTAAAAAACAGTTTATAATTCTAAATATAAAGTACCTAAAATCACAATTTTTACCTCGGTAAATGCATCCATTTTCAGAAAACACAAATGAATGGAACAACAGAAAACTTCTTTCTTTTTTTCACTACTGCCTATACTTTCATTTACGAAAGTGAAACTTTTCACTTCAAGTCTTTTTGTAAAATAATAACAATAACGGATACCCTCGCAAGCGTAACCTTCAGTAAAACCGTTTTTTTAAAGTGAAATCTAACAAAACATATTTGGATTCAAACACAGAGCGACGGTTAAACGTTTTAATATTCTGTGGTGGAACGGTTTACAATTTTTTACATAGAACACAGGACAACTGAACAGACTTTCAATCAGCACCAAAGATCTCTTTTTCGAAAACCTTTCTTTTTTCTGAAAAGACGCCACTATATATCGCTGGGCTGTTTTAGGATATGTAGTCAAATATTTTTATACAATATTATATTAAATGATTATCCTATCAAATCATCATCTTATATCATATCATTGAAAAATACACAACTTTTGTCAAAAAAAATCTATATCATATTTTCACACATTTTTACTGATTTATATGATTATTTATAGTTTCATACTCATTTTTACTGAAAATATAATAATGCAATTTTATTTGATGAAAAAAAAAACAAAACTAAATACATTTTAGACCCTTATGAAGCTTCACAGTGAGGAGCAATATTGTCAAAATAAGGAGTTTTCATTTTTTATTTTTTGTTTATTGGTTATTTTGCGATTTTCAACAATAATATGAAGATTCGGATAAGCATGATTGATCCCTTAGTATCGAATATTTAATTTTTGACAACAAAAGGCCCTCTCTGTGAAAAATTTGAACTAAAAGAAGTAATAATTCATTTGCCCAGCAGACACCTTTAGGAGCACATTTTATGGAGGGTTTGAAAATTCGACATTTTCAATTTTGTATTGTTTTTTTGTCATTCCAAGAAGTTTTCACAGCTTTATTGGGAGTGAAATCTAAATATTTCAAAACTGGGACATACGCGTTCCCTATCGTACTGTTAGACATCGCAATAACTGTGCCAAAAACAACATTTCACATATTACTGTAAGCTCTTCATCAAACGTCAATAGAGAACCCCTATATCTTTCAACACGAGTTTTGAGTATTATAATATACAATGTCATCCCCAAAGTATGCACCATATGGGAAACT